TAAAAATGGTCTTGGTCAGTGGTGGGATTCACATTTTTTTACTACCGGTTCTGTGGGAGTAACTTGGTGGGCGTGGCAGGGGAAGGATACTGTAAAATCTCCAGTCAGAGGTGGTATTTGCCGGTTCTCAGAACTACTCAAAATTTCCACTACCAGTTCTCCAGAACTGGTCAGAACCTGCTGAATACTACCTCAGGTCTTGGTGCTATCTGTAACAGGAAAAGAAATTGAAATGGCAGTTGCAGCAATGTGTTTGAGGCTTTGTCTGTAGAGAGAAAGTAGGGTTTTGATCACATTGCCACAACCATCTGGAGTTTCGGTTTTTGTTTTTAATTATGACTTGTAAACATTCCTTGAACTGTTGACAAGGTTGAAACATTCAATCACATTTGGTGGCAATGTGATATAACAGTTTCAGATTCGGAGAAGAAAGATTTTGGTGAGCTTAGTGATGGATAACTGAACAATGGCAATGCACCAAGGGAGAGGAGGTGGGATCATATTGCCCTAGATGTAGGCAAAAAGGGGGTGCTGCCAAAGACCACCAGGACAGAGTAATAGCTCTGGTTTGTGTCATTGCTACCAGCAATCAGTTGTTTGGTGATGGGTATTTCTGGGTCTTTTGTGCAATGCAGGGAGTAGGGGCAACCACATGTCAAATATGCTAGATACACCATTGATGAACAAAAGTTAGATTTACTACCTGTGTTTGAGAATCAGAACAAAAATTAAAAGTAAAACAAAAAAAATGATGATATCTTGATGGTTAAGTGACATGATAAGATCTGCCCATAGCATTGCTGGAAAAAGTTTCTGATAAAATCCATATTTAATTATTGAATATTGAAAGAGAAATGCAGAAATTGCAGATACTGCTGTTGAGTTCATCTAGTAGTCACATTATTATATGAGTCAGACTTCAGTTAATCTCTGTTAACATCATCCAAATAGTTATGTATCAAAATGGAATTTCAAAAGGAAAGACCGAGCCAAGGTTTTAATTTGAACATTAACAAAGGGGTTCTGGAATTTTACTAAATTAAAATTAAAATGTTACTAATCTAAATTAAATTAATTAAGTTGATCTGAAAAGTTTATTTTAAATTTGAGTACCTAGCCCTTCATCAAACAGGTGAATCCAAGATGATTCACAACAGTATTCTATACAGGTAGTCCTCGATTTACAACAATTCGTTTAGTGACCCTCCAAGATTACAACAGCTCTGAAAAAAGTGACTTATGACCATTCTTCAGTTAAAATCTATGCAGCATCCCCATGATCATGAGATCAAAATTCAGATGCTTGGCCACTGGTTCACATTTATGACCATTGCTGTGTTCCAGGGTCTTTTGATCACCTTCACACAAGCAAAGTCAATGAGGAAGCCACGTTCATTTAACAGTTGGGTAACTAATTTATCAACCGCAGTGATTCATTTAACAACTGTGGCAAGAAAGGTTGTAAAATGGGGCAAAACTCACTTAACAAATGTCTCATTTAACAACAGATATTTTGGGCTCAATTGTGGTCGTAAGTCGAGGACTACCTGTATTAGAGAGTGAAGCATGCCCAAAGCCTGAGCCTTTTACATCCATGTGATGCATGCTTTTTTTTTTGACTCCACCTCCCTCAGGAGGCTACTCCTCTGCCATCAATTCATTTCTGACCTAAATGTTGGTATATATGTTTAATTCCTGTATGGGAAAAATATAGTAATTTGGTTGAAGTATGACATGCTGTCTTGATGCCTCTGGGTTATGTTTTGCAGCTGATATATTGCCCTTTGCTTTGTTGCAGTTACAAATGACAAATTATCTTTAAATCTATGGTTTTCAGCACACAACACGCAGATGTTACTTACTATTTCCACTATGCAAAAAATTTCCTCCACAACCCACAGGGTTACAGATCTCTCAAACACAGCGGTCACAATGCTTGCCTTTATTTTTTTCAACAGCAATTATTATAGAAAATGCCATGTTGCTGTTAGATCTTTTTCTCTCGTTTATATTTTTGAAATGATTTTTGTTCCATTAAAATATCCAACTAGGGTAACCTGAAATTTAGAAGATGGTTCATTCTACATGTACAACTGTTATCCAGGACATATTATCTTCCAAAAGAATCCATTCACATAATCCACTGGGATTGATTAACATTAATTGGTGAATTATTAAGAGATACTAAACATGTTCTAAGCTTCCTGTAAAATGGTTTGATTGTATTAAGAAATAAAGAGAACAAATTCGTGTTAAAAAATAGTTTGAGATAAATTTTCTGGTGCTCTATTGTAGCAAAATTTAGATCTCAGGCATTAATTTCTATACAGTACCAACTAAACACCACCAATATTTATGGTCTTGCATATGATACTGATATATTTTCTTATAAAACTGTTTTTTAAAAAACAGCTATACCTTATTTTAAACTTTCACTTCAATGTTTGATTGCGGGAATATGATCAAGTAGAAATTATTAGATGTAGCAGTCAAATCACTATCAATCAATCAAGGAAGCAAGCAAGAAATTAAGCATTTGGTTTTTAGGAAATGGTCTTTCATTTAGTCTTTCTTTTCAGTGAAACACCTTTTTTCCTTCTTTGAAAAAAATGGTAAATCAAATGGAAGTCTTTGAACATGACCTTAATTCTACATTAGAGAAGTTAAAAAACATACAAATGTTGGAAATGATGTTTATTGTGCTAGGAAATAAGGTTCAAAGTAATAATTTTAAAATATTATTTATGTAAAGCAAGGCATTCAACAATGTAACCTTGAAAGACAGAATGTGATTGGATGAAGAGACATGTCTTTAATCTCTTATCTTTCAAGAGAAGGAATCAATAAAAAATGAAGGATAGGATTACTTGACTTGAAATCTTAAGCATAGTCAAACAATCCTACTGTTTTTTTTAAAGAACTATATAACAGGCTAAACATCTCAGACTTTTTTTCCTGCCACAATTTGTTCATTCTCAAATTTCTCTAGAAACATTTGACTATTGCTGATGTCTCCATGGATCTCTAGCACTTGAGAAGCTGGCTGGAGTGCAGCACCCATTCTTTTATCTCAAGATTGGGTCATTGCCCTAAAGTGGGTGTTGGCAACCTGAGGCAGCTCTTTCATCTCTCTGCTGCAGCTCCCTGTGGCCCTGTCGCAGCAGAGGGATGAAATAGCTGTCACCCTGTCGCCATGGCAGTGGCAATGGGTGGAGCCTTAGTGCAGGAGTGAAGCGCCCCTGTACTTGCCTTTGTGCAACAATAGGATTCGTCCTTTGTTGTGGTATATTTGCTGTTGCCACCAGCAAAGAGGGCTGGGACAGGACGGGGCAGATCTTACTGGGTGGGGGCCATCCCACAAGCTTGGCCTTCCTCCTCCCTCATCGGCGGAGCCAAGAGAAAGAAGGGAGTGGTGTGGGGAAGCACTCCTCTCCCCTGGCCCAGCATCGAGCACAAAATCCCAGCGGGGGTGGTGTGGGTGGCTGGCCCAGCAGAAGCACCCCCATTGATGAGTCAGATGGTGGAGAAGCCTGGTCCGGCTCTCGCAGCTGCCCCACTGTTCGGCACCTTCAACACGAGCTGCCGCCTTTGAAATGTGCCGTGCCTTTGATGAAGGCAGGCAGTGATGGTGCTGGAGGGTCAGAAGGCACACTCTGGTGCCCCAATGTGCGTTTCCAGTGCGTGCTCCTCTGTCCCGAAGTGGGATTGAGTGGAAGGTAGAAGGAAGCAGGCCCGGATGGCTTTTGGTGTGAGGCAGGGGAAAGACCCAATACCCAACACCCCATCCATGGCCTGCCCACTGCTCTCACTGTGCCTTGTGCAGCACAGTGAAAGTGCATTTCACAATGGGGAAGACTGGGTCACCTCCTCCTGGAGCCCATTATGAGGTACAGCCACAATGTGACCCTGCCCCACTCGCCCCTGGCAGCTATCTTGAGGTGGACAGCAGGTTGCGCATCCAGCACCAAGGCCAGAATTAGCCATCCTTTTCCTGCTGCAGCAATGAGAGGCAGTGAGAGACAGATTTGGCTCGGTTTGGCTTCGACTGCTCCCCTCTCTCCACCTTTGCCCAGTTTTGCAAGGATTCAGTGGACGCCGCCTTGGTGATAGGGGGGTTGTCCCATACCTTGCCTGACAAGCATCTTCGGGGGCGGCTGGGGACTACATTTTCTGGCCATTTTGGACCGAGTTGCAGGATGTGTGCCTGCGTGAGTGTGCTGCTGCTTGGGATGATGCTTGTCTGAAGTGTGTGCGGAGATCTAAGGTGGCAACCTCATGGCACTATGATGTAACAGCCTGACAGTCACTCTTTTTACAATGCAAGGTTTATTTTTGTATCTTTCCAGAGACAGAGAACGTGGCCAAATTTCCTTACAGTTATTCCCTGGGTGTGTGGTTTGGAAAGTGGGGGTGGAGAGTCGGGGAGAGGGAGGGAGGGGGAGAGAGAGAAGAAGAAAGACAGAAAGAAAAAGAGAGAGAAAAACACATAGAGAGATGAGAGGGAGATGGAAAGATGAGAGAAAGAAAGAGACAGATGGGAGAGATACTTGTTTCCCATAGAAAATACCAGGAGCCACAAAACTGGGTAGGCGTGGCTGGTGGAGTGTCATGTGACTGGGTGGGAGTCAGTGACATCAAGTTGTCCATGCCCACCCAGATTTTGTGGTTCCTGGTGTTTTGTTTTGTTTTCTTTTATTATTTAAATTTTTATTTTTAATACAAACAATCCATCATCCATTAAACAGTGTGTCATCTGGGTACAAATAACTTGTGCAATAATTAAAATTTCCAACCATAATCATTTACATTAGTATTAATTCTCTACTCTTAGCTTATTACTAATATACTTAATATATCTAATTGTTATAACAATCCAATCCAGTGTTTTGTTTTCTGTGGGAAATGGGTCCAAATGGCTCTGAGTGTTTAAGGTTGCAGACCCCTGCCCTAAAGAAACCACACTTCTTTCCACAATCACATTATTAAAACATGTTTATTAATACAAGCTCAAACATTGCAAAAATATATATTCACATAATTACAATTTACAATTAGCTACTTCATTACTTTCTTACATCTGTCTGTAACCTCATAATGCTAGAACAGCATTTCCATGGAGATATTTACTATACATTTTTCGGATTGATCTCTCCTATTATTAAGCTGAGAACTGTGCAAAATTTCCTTTTCTTAGTAGATAATCCAATACAAGAAATTTAATATTTAATATGTCATTTTAGTTCTCATGACTTTTGGAAAAGCCACTCCAGGTGATGTGTCCTCTGTTAACATGGTGTCTATCAAGAGCTGAGAAGCTGTACAAGTGTTTCCAGGCACTTTATGTGGTATGTTTCTTCTTGACTTTCTTGTGGCTGTTGAAGACCTAAAAGGAAATGCATTAACTTTTAGAGTAACAGATAAATGTCTCAACTGAAAAGAGAAATAAAAGCCAAACTACTTACACTGTCATATTGTTGTGAATAGTTACAATTCTGATATTCCATTATTTAGTCATAGTAAATTACAATACATTTTTCATCAAAATCTGGCAGCTGAGTTTGAACCTGATCTAGGAATGCCTACAATGACTAGCAATGCCTCTCCAGAGTTTCTAACATTGGTTTTCCCAGTCCTAGCTGGTTATGCTAAAATTTAAACCGAGGTGCCACACTATTCTACAAACCTTTCTTGTTTATTCAATACATTTAGACAATGTTACAATATTTTACATAATACATAGAGCCTTACAAATCTATGTGAATGGGTGAGAAGTGCATCGGTCTTTCATACAAACAATGCCTCATTTGATATTCCCTTCTATCATTTAGAGCAGGGGTGTCCAAGCATGCAACTTTTAAGACCTGTGGACTTCAATTCCCAGAGCTGCCTGGGGAATTCTGGGACTTGAAGCCCACAAGTTTTAAAGTTGCCAAGAATGGACACCTCTGATTTAGATCATGTTGTTTCTAAACATGCCGATTATGTTACGCATAGAAGGGTACATGTTTGAAATCTATCTTTTCTAGAACATAAGTACTTTTGGCTGTCCCAGCAACTGAACATTCCAGGGTTTGTTCATAGGTTGCGAACTTTTAACTCACTATTGATTTGTATTATATTATACATTTAGTATATCAAATAGGGCACAAGTCAACATTTTAAAAAAGTGTTTATTTTTATAGAAGAGATTTAACACATGTTTAATTCTTTTTTTAAAAAATGGCAATTGTTTTTGTCCTAGAATTAAGTCTCTCTGTACATGAAAATTCTATTTTCTTCCTTGCACAGGCATTAAATTGAGTTTGTGTACACAAGCTTTTGTACAACTCATTATGACTCAATGAGAGTGCTGCTTGTGCTAATTATATCAGGGTTTTGTTCGTTTTTGTTTTTGTTTCACTATATAGTTGTTTCACTTTGTAACTAGCTTGGACGTAAATCAAGATAATCCACAACTAGTTCTCTAGAGAAGGCTATACAAGCTGGCTTTTGAAATAATTATCTTGATATCCTATTTTTTTTTCTTTTACTGAAAGAAATTTTATGGCTGAATCAAGAAACAGATGTGAAAATAAATCAAGAGTGTCTCAGAACATGAAATACTCCTAAAGGATATGCACCAACCAAATCATAATCAGGAATATCCATGGGAAAGTACAGATTTCTCTACTATAAAATGCAATGTGCTCAGGTTACATCTATTTTTTCTTTTTTTTAATTATAGACTGCATTTCTCTAAAAGTTTAATCAATATATTGTAAAGAAAAATCTCATTAAACTATGAAAACATATGTAATATTCAGCTCATCCAGAACAATTTAACATTTTTTCCTGGAAAAAACTTGGGGAAAAAAACTTGGGAAAGCTTAATTGGCTTTTTATCTAGTGAATTATCCAAAATTACTTTCCAGCTGTGCTGATATTAGCCTGGCAATTTCTTTTATTTTTACTGTCTGCCAAATAGGAGCTTCACTCACTGGCAACAGCCAGGAAGCAACCATTTTTTGTTGTTGTTATACCTGAATAATAAGTGCAGCTGGATAATCCTGATGCCTATCGCTAACAAATGCATTCTACCTACAATTTTCATTTTATTACTAACTTTGAAGATTTGCAAAAATTATAGCTAAAACTTTGCGCCTAATGATTCAACTTCCTTGCTTATTTCCCATCCCACTAACATCTTGCCTGTAGGACATACCAGTGCCATTTCCCCCAAAAAAGTAATCTCCAAATCATACATATTTCTCTTTATCCCTCTGTCCATCTATCTTCCATCCAAGCAAATAGACTTTAAAACAGGGCTGTCAAACTCGCGGCCCGGATGCATCACACGATGGCCACACCCACACCCGGTTTAGTGAAGGGGGAAAAAATTGTGATATGTCACATAATGACGCCGTGACGATGAGAGTTTGACACCCCTGCTTTAAAAAGTAGTATCCAGAAATCATAAAATGTTTAGAAGGTTGCCTTTTCCTTTGAGAATTTCCCCCTGCCTACCCGCATCCCCAAAACACCACTCATGCAATCCCAGTATTCTATTCTTGGGCAAAGTTGAAAATTGAACACATATTCACGTATCAAATGTTATTCATTTGAGATGGAAACCAAACTTGTTAATAACATACATTTCTTTTCCGACATAAAAGCTTCATCCACCCTTCTTTTTATCGATGGATTCTTCAAAGTCACTTTTGCCTGTAGCACAAAAAAGAAAAAAAAAAGAATAATTCAATGTTTGTTAATTCCCTTGTGCTGATGCTGTTCAAATTATTTCGTCTTACTCCTTCCTTGGCAGTGGGCCATGAGGCTATGACATTCAATATGATATTAAGAATGCAAAACATGAAGGTACTTCTGTAAATTGTTTGATGGAGGAGGGGTGAGTGCAGGGTAGAACAGGATAAATAACACAATAAAAAGGAAAAGTTTTTGTTTTTTCTTTCAAAAATAGCTGTTTGCAATACTCAGCATAACAGCATGCTCCCTATTGAATATGAATCTGCCTTACAACCAGCACAATACTCCAAAATAAGCATAGGGTGTTTTTTTTACATTGTAACAAACACTGTGTTTTAAAGATAGTTTTATGCTGTGATATACCCATGTTAATTTGCCAAATGAATGTATAATGCAGAAACTTAGTGCAAAGCAAAGTTATTTTTTATGAGACGGAAAAGAAAAAAATATGATTTAATCAGACACATCCTAATGATCACCTGCATTCATAACTATAGTAACAGCTTCATAGACTATGTTCAGAACAGGAATGTAGGAATAAGAAAAATAAATACTGTCATACTGTCATACTCTAATGCAGTAGAGTTTTTTTTAACCTTGGCAACCTGAAGGTGTGCAAACTTCAACTCCCAGAGTACTCCAGACAACACTGCTGACTAGGGAATTCTGGAAGTTGATGTTCACACATCTTCAAGCTGCCAAGGTTGAGAAACACTGCTCTAATGTAAACCAGATAATGCTGAACCTGGATTTTGACATTCATTAATGAGTAATGGTTGTAGAGAGTGAGAGAAATAGAATTGTAAAGCTACAGAATAGGATAGACATCTTTCATCTAATAAAGCCTTGATGGAGCTTCAATTATCTTGAACCCACAGCCATAATCTTATTGTTATGTACTGTAGAAAGTATTTTTAAGGGAATAGTGACCTAGTGTTTTTTCCACCTTGAATGCCAGAGAAGATGTGACACTTGGTTGTTGTTGTTGTTTTTTAGCTCTGGAGTGTAACAGAACATTGACAAACATTCTTCTTTTTTATAAGAAATAGCTGAAGAAGAGACAGTAGAGATAGAAATTCCTTATGAGAGAATGAGTGGAAAACACCAAACTGGAGGGGGGAAACATGACCTGACATTCATGGAAGAAAAGAACAGCTTATTTGCAAGATTTACATTCAGAGAAAGATGGTCTGCTTTCATGCATTACATAAAGAAAAAAATCATTTTTCTGTGACCTTTTTAATAATAAACACTTGAACTTAGAAAATATAAAGAGAAAGAGAGAGACTGTCTCAAGAATTTTCCTTTTTTTAAATTTAGTTTACTTATACTGAAGAACCAAAATAATTTTAAATAGTATGTTCTTGACTGAAATAGGACCTACCATTTTTGCTGCATGCTTTCATCTGCTACAGCATTGTCTTAGATTAGTCAAGAGGTGAGAAAGGGCTAATGGCAGATACATGACATCATTAATTCATGATATATTATGAGAAACTCATCAAATCTGCAGATGACACCAGCTGACAGAAATAGCCAACACTCCAAAAGTAAGACTTAAGATACAGAAGGATCTTGACAGACTTGAACATTGAGCCCTATCTAACAAAATGAAATTTAATGGTGAAAAAAGTATGGTTCTACATTTAGGCAAGAAAAACCAAATGCACAGGTATAGTACTTGGCACAATAGTAACAATATTGAAATCCTAGTGGACAATTAAATATGAGCCACCAGTGTGCTGCAGTTGCTAAAACAGCCAACATACTCCTAGGCTGCATGAACAGGGGGACAGAATCAAGATCGTGTGAACTGTTAATGTCACTTTATAATGCCTTGGAATACTGCATCTAGTTTTGGTTGCCACAATGTAAAAAAAGATGTTGAGGACTCTAGAACAAGGGTGTCAAACTCAATTTCACTGAGGGCCGCATCAGGGTTGTGTTTGACTTCAGGGACCAGGATGGGCATGGCCAAGGGAGGCATGTCCAGCTCAACCTCACTTGTGTTGGGGGTGCCTGTGGTGGTCCAAGCACTTTGCCAGCGAAAATGGGCTCCCAAGCTCTGTTTTTGGCTACAGCTGCCTCCTGCAGCCCTCTGCCAGCAAAAACGGAGCTCAGGGGGCTGCCTGAGGCCCTCTCAAACTCCGTTTTCACTGGCAGAGGCACCACAGGCCAGTCCTTCACTGTTTCTGGGACAGCCCCGTGGGCTGCCACAAAGAGCTATTCTCCAAAGCACCAGAAGGCAAGGCAAGAAATAATAGATAGAAGCTAGTCAAGGAGAGAAGCAACACAGAACTAAGGAGAAATTTAGGGTTAAATGTTAGAACAATTAATCAGTGGAACAACTTGCCTCCAGAAGTTATGAATGCTCTAACACTGGAAGTTTTTAAGAAGAGATTGGACAACCATTTATCTGAAATAGTATAGAATTTCCTGCCTGGACTAGAAGACCTCCAAGATCCCTTCCAACTCTGTTATTCTGTTATCATATGCGTATGATGCATGCCGCAATTTATGCGCTTGTTTCAGATGTTGGGATGTGACTATTTAACGGGGGATTTCTATCATATCATCACATGTGTGTCATTATTTCAACACTGCAGTTTGCTGCAGTTGCCACTGCACCTTTCCAACTCTTATATTCTTTGATTTGCTCAATGATTTCACTGATTATATTCAATGCCAATCAACTGTATTACTGACCATGTTATGAAAATGTAGGCTCGGTAGAATTGTGCTTATATGCATAGAGAGACTGATGCATTTGTGTGTACATTATTATACACGTGCGGACTAAGAGATTAGTGCCTAATTGAAAATTGCAGTATTTCTGTATGAACACATCAGAAATAAAATCCTCAAGCCTTTAAAACACTAACCTTCTGATAGTTGTGAAGCAAAGCCCAAATTGCAGATGCTCCTATTCTCCGAGCTGCAAGGCTATCACTTTCCAGACAAGCAGATAGCAACGCAACAGCTTTATCTAGGAGGAAGACAAAAGACCGCACATGTATCTAACCAAAGGCTATTATATCACAGTTTCAGCTTCTCCAATGCATTCTTGTGAGTAATTTCTCTCTTCCTGTGATAAATATTACGCCAATGCATATAAAAGTCACTTAAGGCTTATAAAAGTCACTACAATTTCATTTCAAGAAACTTCTATACGGTAGCTTCTTCTGTTGCATCGATATTAAAAAATGATCCTGATGGGATATGTGATATGGAACATACATGGGTGTGTATGCAGCATCAGTTGGCAGTTTTTTCACTCAAGTGTGTCAGTTTCTTTAAAAAGATGCCCAGAGATATTCCATGGATCACCTTTTCCCTTTTAGATCTAGGCTGCTGCAGATCCCTATTAAATATTGTAAAAAAATCAATCTAAATGTAAGAAATAATGCCAAACTTTCAGAACTTAAGTTACTGGCTATCTTCTTGTGCTAATTATACTGTAAATATTCTATATTATACATAATCTACATTTACTATTACATTTACTATATATTGAGGGCTATGATTAAGACATTGATGAGTATTATCCCTTCTCAGTATTAAAAAAAAAGTCCTATAATTCTGCTTTCATGCAAGCTTTGTGATTATGCCTCTGGAAATTACCTTCTATTGTACTTGAGTTCTTATTATGATTTTGTTCAGAACATCAATTAGATTGACCTTCAGTATCTTTAAAAGATATTGTAACTGAATAATAAAACTTTTCCTTTCTTGGCCAGCACCGTACATTTTTCCATCCACTGTCTTTATTTATAGGTCTTTTCTCCCTCCTTCTCACCTTCAACATAGCTGAGTGATGAAAATCTTGTGTGGTAGTCTACCAGAATAGTCAGATAAAGAAAATCTAGGATTATCTGATTCTAAAACTGAATCTTCTATAGTCACTGAAAGAACAATGTTCACAATAATATTTGAACTCTTTACTCTAGCATAATACCGTAGTTCTGAGCCTGAAATTATATACTAGGGTTATTTTATAAGCTCCAGCTTTCTCCCAATACTCCTGACTAGTTGCAATCTCATCCTGTATGTTTAAAAGGCCCTTAATTGGGAAGAATGGCTTAAAGACAGACAATAGGTATTTACCATTTGCTAGTATCTTGGGTTTGTTGGCTGGACTAAAGCAGATATTGTGCAGAATCAGAAGGATCATGTCTGGGTTGTTTCTGTGTTTATATTTGGCCATCTCTATAAGTTGATCCAAGCCACCATTCAATTTCATGATCATTTGCTGTCCATCTTCTCCAAATGATAAATTCAGTAAGAGTTTTATCCAAGCAATAGCCAGCATACTGAGGCTTTTATTTCCTCCTTTTGGCAATGATAGCGACAAAAAATTCTGCAGAAAATTGTTCTAAAGTAGGAGAGAAAAAGATGGTTATTAAGAAATTATTTTTCTTAAAAATTATTTTTCACAATCCATTGACAAAACATGTTACTCCCTACCTCGGGAAATATTGAGTAATCAATAAAGGAAAATATTTGTAGCTCAGGGTTGAAATGCAATGTCCTTGGTGCTCTCTGAGTTTGATAGTTTTCCTGCAGATGTTTCATTTCCCAAACTGGATAACATCAGTTCGGGTAATGAAATGTCTGAAGAAAACAACCAAGCTCAGAGAGTACCAAGCACCCTTCAATATTGAATAAGACATTCCACTAGAACAGGAGTGTCAAACTCACATTGTCACAGTGGTGTCACATGACATATTGGGATTTTTCCCCCCCCTTTGCTAAACCGGGCGTGGGTGTGACCAGGGCATGACGCATCCGGCCCATTGGCCAGGAGTTTGACAGCACTAGAAATTTTGTTACATTTGAATAAATTAGCTCCTTTTGTTCTGAGTTATCCTAACTGTAGCATGTTTTGAGATGAGGAACTTCTGGTGCTCTAGGTGTTGCTAAACTGGATTTTCCAAAAACCTGGCTAGTTGCTGTCAATGGATATTGGGAACTGTGGTTCAGTAACATCTGAGGAAAATTAAGTCAAGTAACAAAACTTGAAAATGCACTGCTTTTTCTCAGTAATTTAAATGATGCCATTTATAAAATGAAAATAAATTCTCTTCTACTATCACTGTAGAGTAATCAATAAAATATAATTATAATTATTTATAAAGTTGTATACAAAATACATTGTCACTCGTATTTTAATAATATCTGTTGCTTCTATGAAAACAAAACAAAACAAAAGTCAGGAGTTAAAGAATCATAAATAGGATGTAAAAACAATTTGAGATTTTTTCTTCTTCAAAATATTGTATTTTTTTCTTATGCACAATGTAACAATTTGTCATCAATTTCTTAAACATTCAGTTTAAGAAACACTGCCAATAAGGAGCGACAGCATGCAAACTCTGGTGTTCTACAAGACATTTGAAGAGCTTGCACAAAGTCTTTAGGAAAAGGAAGTACACTTCTGGAAGTTTGTTTTGGCTAGGAGAAGCTGACACCGACAAAAAAGACCATTGGGAGATATAGAAGCCATAACAAATACTCACGCACTGTTATAACATTGTTATAGCTTTTGCAACTATGCATAAAATTGTTGCCTATTCCTACTACAGAAAAAAACCACAATAATACACAAAATGTAGAAGGCTCTACATTGCCAGATGCTTCCTGTAGATATTTTAAGGCCAGCTATCTTCAGTAATATATATGTCCTGAGCCTGTCAGACATGTGAAATTAAGCATCCATTAATTAATTTAAAAGCCTCCAAAAGGAAACTTCCTTTAGATATCAACATGTATATTAAGCTGCTGTCAGGAAAAGCTATGCAGATAGGCAATTGCTCCAACAAACTACAAGCAAATTTCTGGGTGTTCAATATATCCTGGCTCTACTTGAAGCTGCCAAAAGCTGAACTGAGGGATTTCTTGCACACAAGCAATTTGCTCAACAAGTAAATTTTCTGCTAGAAAATTAAAAAGCAATCCATGTATATTTTTCCATCTATCAGCTATTCTAAATGCTAGATGGATACAAATGAAATGAAATAGGTTTCTAGATAATTTTATTACCCAAAGTCACAGACCAAATGTAAAGCAGTTATGAAAGTTGTTGTGAAAAATTCACTTTCTAACTGCAGGACTGGAAGCTGAACCAAAGCATTTTTGGGTAGGGTAGGGTAGGGTGGAAGGAAGGAACGAAGGAACTATCCAAAATAAAAGCTGGTAGAGAATAATTCAGTCATTTTTTAATTAGTTATGAAAATATTAACAGTTCTGCATTATTATTGAAGTCTAAATCTAATTCATTCTTTCTAGCAATGGTTGTTGCCTTTTAAAGCTCCTTTTAAGACTAGCAAAGGACTTTTAAATTCTCCCAGCATTGCATCTTTTCAATTTAAAGCACTTATGTGATTTTTTTTTAAAAAAATGTGTCATGTAATGATTTACTGCTTTACTACTTACATTGGTCATGCATCTGTTATGATTTTTAAATAGTTTCTCTCTCTCTCTCTCATACATACACACACACACACACACACACACACACAGTGTTTTGCAATATTCTACATTGCAAAATATAAATGTTAACATCTCAATCAATCCTGAACATTGAAAAGCTAATGCAATTATCCTCATTCCTTTTCATCAGGGTAGATTTAACTTTTTAGACAATGTTTCTATGCATATGGGAAAAGGTGGTGAGAAGAAACAAAGGGCGAGGTTCTGCCTTCTCCAGTTGGTGTGCCCAATCTGAGGAGAGGAGTTCCTTTCTTCAGAGCTCTAGCAACAAGATACATGGCTGTGGGACTGGATGGTGTCGTCTGTTTCTGTGAACAGCCCACTTTCTTCATAGTTAACAGCTATAATAACAACAAAACATTAACAACCACTATCTTGTTGGTTGCTTTCCTTTGTTCCCCCATGCTCTTTCCTTTTTGATGTCACTCTTAATCATAAACTGAGGAAGAGAGCTATCTATGTTATAGTATTACTCATACCCATACAGAAACTTCTGGCTTAGGTTTTTGGTTTTTTTTACAAAAAGGGCAGAGTTCATGCCTTGCATTTGGGAGCTTTAAAAATAAAGTGGCAGGCTAGAGGCAGACAATGTCTTATTGACAAAGGCCTTTGGGAAAGTTTCTGACATATGCAGGAAGTGACTTTGCCATTCAAGGAAGAATTGCTGCCTCAACACAACCAATCATTTCTGAGGAGCACTTTATTCCACAATTTCATTTCAGGATAACCACCTTGTCATGAAGAAAAGAAGCAAAGAACAGAGGAGATATTTCCCCCACAAAAGGCGCTTCTGACATATGACAAATTATACTGACAATGCGTATAATTTATCCCTAAAGCGTTAAGTCATGTACAAACGATGTCAAAATGCTTACATTAAACATGCAGGAATGGACGTTTTGCTGAGTTAAGAAGCAGAAATATTAACTAAAAAACAGAACAGAGGAGACAGCTTTTCTATTACCCTGTTTCTCCAACAATACGGCCTCCCCCAATAGGAAGTCCCAGCATGTTTTATAGGCATGAAATGAAATTAAGCTCCTCCCCCCAAATTAAGGCCTATATTAAAACATGTGAAATGGGGGGAATGGTGGGGAGGCTTGCCGTTAGGAAGTTCTTTTGTTGCACACCCAGATATGGTGCTGCCTGCATTGACCCCGATACGAAGTGCCCCACCAATGCCGAGGTCAACATCCAAGCCATCACCGCCCGCCCGAAGATGCAAGGGGGGGGGATTAAGTCACCCCCGAAAAGACGGCCTAGCCATTTTTTCGGGGCTCAAAAAAAAATAAGACCCGGCCTTATTATATGAGAAACACGGTACTCTTTTATCAGCCAGTAATCTGGTCGATTGAAACATGCATTTGGATGTGATAATATCTACAAGCTCCATCCACAGAAATCAGTGATGAAAAACTATGCATAAATACACACTTGTATTATTAATCAGTGATTACAACTAAGCCAACGTTGCAGTAATAATCCCTACAGTTGTGACTATTGAGTATTCAAAGGTAAGAAAGACCATTCATTAAGAATCCATAGATGGAATAACTACATTATACTTACATACGTATGCATACACACACCCATACACACACGTATAATTGTGTTCCACATGCTTTGTGTTTGCTTGCACTATAATTGTTTATTATAAACCTCAATCTACCATTCACATTTTTTTCTGCTTTTCTCTTAACATCTTCCCTGAGCACTGAACAAAACCAAAGCCACTTCCTAAATGTTACCAGTGTATTCAGAACACTGAATGCCTACCTTCTGAAGAACACCTTTGCAGTCTTGAGATACAACCAGGTTTGCCAGAAGATTAAATGTCATCTGCTGAATGATGCCGTTCTCAGACAGAGTTTGAGTTGCTAACTTCATGATGTTATGCATAAGTGGGTTCCCAGCTGCCGTTCTTTGGGTTGTCTGGAAAGAGCACAAGCTGCTACTTGCCACGCAAAGGGAAGCACAGCCTTTAAAGATCAAAATGTTGTTACAGGTAAATATGAGGAGGGAAAAAAGAACTTTTTATTAAGTTGCCTGTTTGCCAGTAAACAACCTCATTCCATGTTAAAATAACAGTTTTCAAAAACCTACATTCCATGTTAAAATTACGATTTTCCCAAAAAGTTTTTTTTTTTTTTTTGCTCAGGGTTATACTATGGAATTCTTGATGCTCTTTGAGATTGCAGATATTTCAATGTTCAACTAGGTAATATCATCAGTGCATATAACTCACATTGATTCTTTTTTTTAATCTAGTGTGTAATGAAATGCCTACAAGCACCAAACTTAAAAGAGCATCAAGAACTCAACAAAACTAATATATAAAACATTAAATCTCACAGAACACACTTTATTTTATCAACTATTACAGGAGTACAGTGTTGATTAGACAAAGGAATCTTGCTTCAAGCCTTTTCTCATATGAAACCCACCCCTTTCTCTCATCTCCAGGCTTATGGGAAATAAATAGTTTATGCATAGTTACCCTTTCATGTGTATTTATTTCCTTCAACCTATACTATTTTTTAAGAGTTTTATTTTTAAAAAAAACAAAAATACACAGATAAGGAAGGCAGAGCTGGCGTTGCGGTGGTACAACGCACGATCTTGATCCTCCAAGATTGCTGTCGATATCTCCACTGCTGGAGGGTCCCGACAAACCTAAACCGTCCCGTAGAGACGGTGATTGATTAGGGCACGTCCTGTCGATCCCAGGGACATCACAAAGTCCCTGGTTGATCCAGGAAAAGCCCTTTTGCCAGCGGCGGAGAGGCAGCCATTCAAGCTGCTGAAGCTGGGACAGCTCTGGAACGGAAGAGATTGAAGGAAAGTGTGTCAGTTTGGTGAAAGTTTACTTATTATTGCTTGAAGAGAACATCCTGAAAGATTTAAAGTGAAATTAAAAGTGAAGAGAAAAGAGTTTAAGCAGCGAAATTAAGCTAGTTAAAGTGAAAGTTTTTTCCTTTTCCCTTTTTATTGGAACTTTGAATTTGGTAAAGTTACTGAATTTTAAACTGGACTGGTTTCTTTTAAATTCTCCATCTTTGTTTTTATTTTTTTTAACAATTTTTTGAAAGTCTGTTTTGATTAAGACTCTTCTTTTGGATTTGAGGTTTTTTTTTTTTCAAAAAAAAGGAAGGATTCCATTTTCTCTTTTTGCTTCTGGTATTGGATATGTGAGAGGGAGTGAAAGGGAAGGGGAAAAATAAGTAGTGCTGCCATCTAGAGGCTTGGACATATTGTTTCTTTCTTTCCTCAGTTTGTTTTTGTACTTGTGCTATATTCAAGGACTCTGAGTTTTGCACTGGAAAAGATAGTGGGATGAGCATGGCAGATTGTTTATACAGGTGCCCATCTGTGAAACTAAATAATTAGAGCTTCGAGCTGAAGTTGAAAGAAAGAAGATTGAAGTGACCTTGAAAATACTGGAACTAGAAACATTGAGTTGATTTATTAAAGAGCCTTGGATACTCAGTGGCAGTGGCTGGCTTAACTTTGGGTTATTTTTCATCTCCTTTTTTACTCCCCCTCCCCCCCAGTTGGATTTTTATATTAGGATTTTAACCTTCTATTCCAGAAACTAGAACGTAAATCTTTTACTTCCTTTTTTATCCTCTTCCTTTTCTCTCTTTTATTAAGAGAAATAATTGGATTAAGGTACATAAGTGCCTAAAGATTTTTCTTTTTCCCTTTTTCTTTTTTGGAGTGGCAATTGCCTGCCTGCACTCCTTTTTTATTTTTATTTTTCCTTTTCTCTTTTTTTTTCTCTCTCTCTACAGGTAAGCACTACAAGATGAGCAGAAAGACAACAGCGCCAGCTTCCTCAATATCAATAGCCTCTTCACCATCTGGAGGACAACGGTCAATACAGACAATCTTACAACAGGAGAAAGTAAGGAAATGACGTTACAGATAATTATGCAACGAATTCAGAAGATTGAAAAGAGAATGGAGAATATTGAGCAAAGAACTCAACCTATACTATTTTGCTTGTTTGTTTGTTTTAAAAGTAATCAATTGGAAGAAAAGCTAGTAATAAATCCTCAGTTCCTTCATTTTAGATTCCATCATCTGTTGTTTTTTCCAAGCAGGACATTCCTGATGTTTTTTTCACTGGCTGTCATCTTCAGCTCTTTCTTCTAGCTGTATTCTAACTATAGGCATGCTGGTATTTGTCATCTAAATGTACTATTAGAGGGAGTGATTCATGATGATTGAAAGATGTGAAGAAAGGAGAGCTTTCTTCTTTAAAACATAAAGTGATAGATCGATGGAAATCCAGACATCAGAAGCCTATTATGATGCATTTTTAAAGTAATGTGTGATATTTTGAAGAATATATGCCATATATTAAGCCATGCAGTAAGACATTTCTAACATCAGTTTTGGAATGACAAGAACTCCAATTATCTGGCATGAGTTCCTACCTCTTTTAAACCAGAATTTTCATACTTTAAAATATTTCTGGATGTTACCAGAAAGTTAAGTGGTGAATATTTGGAGACACATACATATATGGGAGTTGACTTTTTTTTTTTAATAATCAGATTATAAGATCCAAGCTAGAGAAGAATTTAGAGATTATAATACTTGCCTAATCTTTCAAGTGAAATAATTCCAAATTCAAATTGTGTCAAGATGTGAAAACTTCTCTACTATTGTGAAAACTTCTCTACTATTAATGACTTCTCACTGATGTATTTTTACATGGGGACAAGCATTTGCTGGGAGCTACAAGGAACTTAATTTAGTTTTGAGGGATAAACAAATTTGGTTTGCAGACACAGATCTTATTCATGGCTTTAACCCAAAAATCTCCTGGAAGCCTTTCCAAGGATCTGACATGTGTAATGGAACTGATGGAGCTTTTTCCCTGGAATATATTAAATCACAGTATAAGCTGCTTTTGAATATAGTCTCAGTTAAAAGAGAGAGTAATTTGTGTTGTGACAAATAGTGCAATGCTGCTGTCTGAAAACAAATCTGAAAACATGCCATGGACATGTTCAACCTTAGACACGTGGAAGTATTTAGATTATCATACAGATATATAACTTAAAATGGAATATAATTTAAACTGAATTCAATTTTGATGAAATTGAGGAAATTAACACCATGACTATAAGGATGCACACGTGAACTTTTTCAGTTTTTCTACGCAGAGGAATTAAGGCATTCCTGAAGATTTCCAAAGCTATTGTTAAATACAAACTCATTTGCTTTCTATTATAACTCATCATGCTTTGAATTAAATTTTGCACTCTCCTCTGTTACATTTTTGATGTCGATATACTCCCACAAAAGAACTTGCAAAGTTTTCTACATGAGCATTGCTAACATGTAATTTCTCTTACAAATTACTGTGAATGATTGAACTAAGATTATTCACATTCCGTAGATACAGGACATTCATGAACTATCCACCCACCTTAGTCACCGATTTATTAAAAAAAGTAAACCCTGAAACATTTTTAACTCAAATTGCCCACTGATTAACTATGAAAAACCAGTTTCTTTTGAAATGAAATGTTTAGTGCAGTCAGATGCTGTCACCATCTCTCAAGGGCAGCCATGTAAATGTCAAGAAATTTTAATATGCGATCGGTAAATAATTCTTCATGGTACTTTATGCCAACCTTCATAGAAAAGGAATATATTTGCTAAGAGGAAAAGAATAAAAGCAAATAGTAACTCTTTTTCTCTCACAGATGTACATCTACAATCAACTGTTTACAAGGTAGGAAGGCATGAGTGTTTCCATTTCTGTTGGAATACAGATAGTCCTCCTTCAGCGACCACAATTGGAATTGGCAAAGTGTTGTTGGTTGTTAAGCAAAGTGAAATGCAACAGTGCTTATTGTCTTCCTTCAGCTTTCTTTTGCTTGGCAGACTTGTCCCTAACCCTAAGTTTGTCATCATCTTTGTAACTGTGAATAGTTGCAGACTCAGTTGCTAAACATGACTACCTATATATAATAAATCGAGGGAGGAGGAGAGAACTATCATTTGTGTAATACAAGGACTTGGAAAAGTGACTTTGAACAAAGATCTCGTTAGGCCTTTCCTTTCCTTTCCTTTCCTTTCCTTTCCTTTCCTTTCCTTTCCTTTCCTTTCCTTTCCTTTCCTTTCCTTTCCTTTCCTTTCCCCTTCCTTTCCTTCTGCCTTCCTTCCAGCTTTAATGGTCACTTGCTACATGCAGCAATGATTGGAGCATCACTCACCTGAAGGATAGTTTGCAGTGTAGGTACAAAGCAGATGCAAGGCTGCTTGCATCAAGGAGTCGTCCATTAAAAGCCAAGGCCACAAAGAATGCAAAATAGGAATGAGATGAGTTCCAAGGGCTGCTGCCTGTCAAATAACGAGAAGATGTTGCAATACTGAAAGAGCTTTTGTAGGTGTGACTGTGAAGATAATGCAAAATCTAAGGGCTCATTGACCACAGACGGATCTTTTCCAACCTCCACATCCTCCAAACATACATGCATGTCAACTCTGATGAACCAACCATTTTGGAAGTTGGTATCTATGCATTGAAGAGGATCCAAGTTGGAAAGGTAGAAACAGAGATGTAAATATTACTTGGGAGAAAATATAATTTCCTCTTGTGACATGAAAATTATCTAATGCCTCACAATAAACATACCAATCCCAAACAAAATACAAGTTCAGTTATATTAAAATAAGGGACCAAACTATCACTCACATCCTCAACCCTCTGGATATTCCTGAACAGTTATTATGACACAATCTGAAAGATAAATCACAAACTGGAAGATAAATAAAATAAGGCTGTTGGTTTCCCACCCTTTGTATTTCTAAATAATTCATTTCCATCACCATTGCTACCCAGATGCTAGGCATCTATAAACAGTTGGGTTAACAGAAAGTGAAGGTCATAAGTAGATTGTTCCCAATATTGCAAACAGTTACATCTCCAGCAAGGCAGGCCTTTTGCAAATTTTAGCTGAAGGGGAGGGGTAGACATTTCCCATGTCTCTTACTTTGCAGGATTCATTTCGAAAGAAACAATTTCTTAGGAGCTGCATGGCAAGTTTTAATTCTCTGCTGAGGTTGTCTTCCTGGTAGAACAAAAAAATTGGTTTAGATCAATATACAAGCAGAATCTGGTTTATATAACACATACAGTTCTGCTTGCTTCTGCAGAACTAGATTCTGTAATAGCTTTGTACTGTATAGTATCAACCTAGTTAACTCTCAACTCTTTTTTCCCACCATGTATTCAAAATGGATGATGATTTATGTATGTATGTTTTGCCGCCATTTTGTATAACTTGGCACTTTTGGATGCTGCTATTATTATATTATTATTGTTATTCTTGAGGTGGTGTCATTGTTTCATGGGTGGTGTTTTTTCTTTTGAGAGCATGCATCAATGTGTGTCATTGTGTATGACAATAAAGGTTATCTTAATCTTGATTAATTTAACCAAGCATGGACATAGCCAGTATCTAGAAAATAATATCTGCCTTTCATGGTGGGAAAAAACCCTTTGAGGTTTAGTGGCCATCCAACCGAGGGTGAGACCATTCCATCAAACAAAGACAGATGCTACCCAAGATCTATTTTGGATTTTATAGAGCAAATCTACTGGCTGACAATAAAATAATTTTCTCTCAAAGGAACATTAAACAAAAAGGAACTAAAGCAATGTGATGAGTGAAAGAATATAAATACCCTCATTGTAAAAGGCTCACCAGAGGTCTGCTCTTTCTATTGACATAATTATACAAGTACATATTAAGATAAAGACTTTTCTAATTATACCAAACAAATTTAAAATTAAAATATTGAATACCATCTAAAAAGACTTGTTGATGGCATATCCATCCAAGTAGGATTTATCATTCCTCTTTGTATAAAGGCTACAAAATAACTGATTAATATGTACATGGAGGCAGATTTGCTTGAATGGTATTCTAATCATTTCACATGGTTGCACGTATCACTTGAGAAACATTAATTAGCAAGTTATGTTTTCAAGGGAATCGGAAGATATTCAGTTGAAATAAAAATTATTCTTATCCACTTATCCACTCCTTTTTTCAATAAGAGTCTATTCATTGACAGATATATACTTTGTAGTAAGCATCTTATGTGTTGATTTAGACAGTCATATAATCAATATCAGAATAAGAATTTTGAAAATGAGAAGCGCAAGATTTTAATATATGCCCTTAAGGTAAGTGATTTCTTCCATCCTTCTTCTTTCCCCTCTGAAGCATACTGGATACTGTGTTAGATTTAGGAAAATAAAACACCATGTAAATATTTCTATCCAGCCCTTTATTGCTGATACAATATAATATAAGGCAGAGGAAGAGGCTGCTTAACTTTTCCATACCTGAGAATGCCCTACAGGCAGATTTTGTGCTTTCTCCTACTTATGTTCAAACCTACCTTAGAAGGTCACCTAGGTGAAGTAGTAGGTAAGAGGGATTACAAGCATCTTCTGCACCATCTATTATTTCTATTTTTCAAAGCATTTGCCCCACAGTGTAACAGTTAACCTTTAGTGCTTGATATTCAGAATCAAATGGAAATTTGAATATGCACTCCTTTGAAAGCAAAACATTTGAAATTGAGACGTCATGTCTGAATAATGCTAGAAATTGAGAAGTTCCAGAGGGAAACATTATTCTTAAGGAAGCATTCTTAACAATTATACAACAACTGCAGTCCTCCAGATAAAGTGAACCACAACTCTCATCTTCCTAAACCACCATTTCCATCCAGTGATGATGATACAGGATGCTGCACACACACACACACCAAGAAAAAAAATACTAAAGAAGCAGCATATTTTTTTTCCCAAAGGTGTGGGATTCTCATCATCCCCAGCCTATTAAAACCTACATATACAAGAGTATAAGTCTCACTAACTCATCTGTACAAAACAAGGATATAAAATGGATAGGAAGAACACCATTCACATATTCAACCATTTTTACATCAATATGGTTAAAATACCTTTTTTCTTTGGATTGCTTTTCCAAGCTTCAAGGACGCTAGATTCAGTTCTGTATAAACATGTTTCATCTGTTCCAAGCCAGTCTCGATGAGGTTGGCTATAAAGAAAAAATATGCATTCTATTAATCAATCTACTCAAAATGTGCAATGGTCAAATGCATACTTGGGCCAATGAGCCAATTTGGACTTGATAGATTGAAGATCTGATATTGTATAAGCTGAATTATTCATTAGCAAAATTTTGACAAATGTAAATAATAAAAATCGTGTTACATTCAGATTTGCTTCTTTATTTTGATTTGGAAACATAAAATACTTGTCCTGGGGATAATGTACATTAATTGTTTTGAAAGAATCAAAACATTTTCTTACACTGGCATCTATCCAGCCAGTATCACTTAATTGTAGACAAAGAAAGAAAGAAAGGTTATGGACATTTTTCCAAATTTCTTTCGTTTTTTTCTTTGTAACAACTGGCCAGGCCTCTTGGAGACATTATTTCTGTAAAGTTTTGTATTTGCCAGGTTTTCCATGATGGTTTTACTCCAAATATCAAAAGAATTCTATTGGCATTGCTTCCTGCAGTCATTACCCTGTATCTATAAACAGCTAATACCAGGATAGAGAAGAAGGACACGTATATTCCGGTCGGTTGTTCAGGTGTATAAATCCAAAAGAAGCTGTAATAGGAATCATCAGCTTCTCATCACTAATCTCACTTAAGACACCATCGGTTGAAAATGGGCCATAATGATGGCAATGATAATCTATTCAATGCACACAGCAAGAAAATACCTGACAAAACAAGAACCTGCTGTTGACTCTCAGGTTCTTAATTTCCCTGACAGTGAACATAACCAGCAAACCATCATCCATATCACAGGAAACAGACCCAACAACAGCTGGACATACAAAGCTGTTACAATGGGGTCATTCTTTCTCTTTAACTACACAGTGAATGACACCTGCTTTAAAATCCCCAATTTTTAGGTAACATCTCACCTTCCAGGGCACATTTCTGGGCACTTCTACTAACAGCTAAAAAGGGAAGCAAGGCACTGGCAGAAACTTTTTTTACCATATCTTGAAAAGAGTTTACTTCATAGGTCTGTGAAAAAAACAGAATGGGTTATCAAAGATAAATATAAGATTCCCGATATGCAGAAATTTCCACATTATGCTTTTGCAAGAATTGATTTGAATTCCCTTTATTGATCATCATCTATATTTAAATGAAACATTTAGGAGTACACATAAAATAATAGACATGCAATTGAAACATAATAATCTACTATTGCTCTGTGGGAGAGATGGAAAGTCTCTAAATTTGATTAAATAAACCAAAAATAAAGACATGGGTTATGTTAAATTCCTATAAGATAGCACCATGATGGCAAACCTATGGCACATGTGCTGGAAGTGGCACGCAGAGCCATTTCTGTCGGCACACAAGAGGTCACCTGGAAGAGGCCCACTGCGCATGCACGGGCACCCCCCTGTCAGCCAGCTGATTGTCGGGGATCTGCTGCCATGCGCAGGGCGAGATGCATGTGCATGCGCAGGGTGCACGTGGGGGGTCGCGCATGCATACGTGGGGGTCGCACATGCATTGCATCATGGGTGCAGGCACGTGACATGGAAAAGGTTAGCCATCACTGAGATAGCACATGGTGAAGGGGCTCTCGCCATGGGCAACTCACCTCAGCCAATTTGCTGCGGGAGAGCTTTCCACGGAACAAGAGTTACACTAATATTGAAGAAATTGTGGCATGGAATCATTAAAGAAAGGATGGCAAAGGACAACAAAATGAAAAGTGAATGACAAAAATAAAAATATTTTTTAAAAATATTTTAAATTGAATTGAATTGCTGAGTTGTCCCGCAAAAACTTGTCCATTTTAATAAGTTGTCCCACAGTGAGTTGGTTGTGGCATATTAGTTGTGGTGAGTTGATCATGGTGAGTTAACCAGAGCAAGTTGGCTGCGGCGCAGTGTACCACTCAAAAAGATCCACATATTTAAAAAAACAACAACACTGTAGCTCTTTGTCATCTTCTTCCTCTTCTTTTTAACATTTAATAAGCAAGGACATGTTTTTCATTATCAGAGCAAAATAAATGAGAAACCCTGGCTTCAGGATCCAGATTTGTCATGAATCAGAGGTTCAGCATCACAGGTTCTGACCAGTTCTAAGAGAACTGGTAGCAAAAATTTTGAGTAGTTCAGAGTACCGGCAAATACCACCTCTGACTGGAGATTTTACAGTATCCTTCCCCTGCCACGCCCACCAAGCCACGCCCACAGAACCAGTAGTAAAAAAAACCTGCATCTCACCATTGCCCAGCATATAACTTTTATATACTGTTGTTGCTCTCTAGCCCCATCTAGTGGCTGGAGGGACAAATATGCCCTAAGATACGATCTTTATATACTGTTGCTGCTCTTTAGCCCCATCTAGTTGCCAGAGAGACAAATACCTAGTATATGATTTGAAGCTGACCCCACCCATTACCCATCCGCCTGCACTCTCAAAACAAGTGCATGCTGGGAAGCCAGACTCCATTTCTTTTAGCATTTGGAGAAGGCAGAAGCACAAAGGAGAATCTATCTTAATCTGTGGCACATGGTCATCCAAGGACAAACCCACATCCCACGCACAGAGCATTGCTGGTGAGATTTAAATTGCTTGTATTTATTGTTATGTTCAGCAGTAACTCAATACCGTCTTATCTTGTATTTGGTTCTCATTGTATGCATTTCCCCAGTTTCACCATGCCCTGTTCCTTCAATAAAGCATTCAAGATCTACCCACATAGTCTCTTTTATTGGAAGATAGGTGGGTTTAACTGCATGTCAGGCTGCACACAGACTAACATGTAGTGAGGACAGAACAAGATTCACTGAAAATTGAAAACTGCTTTTAGCCAGCTCTATTACAATTCAAAAACTATCTCTTGTGTAAAATATTTTTCTTATGAAATCATACCTTGACAGACATATAATATTTTTTCTACAGTTAAAATTACTGGTGCCCAAACTGTTTATGTTATTATGGTTTACCTAATACTATATTATAGGGAAAAGAAAAGCAGATTCTTTTTTTCTCAATGTATTAGTCTCCCTTTATACACTGATAAAGGACTGGCTGAATACTTTTTAGAGACATACTCAATTATTTCCCGCACTCAGTATTGAACTTTAGAAGTAATTTTTTCTCCTTTATTTTAGGTACCTGCTTCTGATTTCTGTTTTGATTTTGCTACTCTAATTTTTCTCCCTACAATTGCATGCGTTTTAAAAACTAGCAAGTGAATCTATCTGCTCCAGTAGTACTGACATGCCCTTTCCAGGATCCTTCTTTTACACAGATAAGATTTATTACCAAATTGTTGGTGTGACAAACAACACTTTCACTGCTTCCTCAAAAATTTCTTTCCAACCTCTCAGTTCTCCACACATTCTGGAATTGATTTGTTGAAATGTCATCATGAATAAAGGGTAACAACATCAAATCTCAATTCTAAGGCACGCCAGTTCAAAAGACACATAAGATGCAATGGTGACATTCACTATAATGATTTGGTGGGGAAAATTAAGCTGTATGAAGCTTTTAATTAAAAAAAACATGCTACTATTCTAGCAAGAATACATTGTTGCTTAATATTTCATGTTTTTCATGTGATTTCATGTGATTTCTTTGTTTTCCCATTCATTTATTACTGTGATCCACCATCTCCCCATTGCACGCCTTTTTATGTACAAATTGTATGGCACTAAAGTTGGCTTTTATATTCTCATTGATTGTCTTCCTTACTATGAAGTAAATTTCTAGGTTAAAATACATTTCCAATATATGACACTGTTCCAGGCCAGCAGCTAAAATAACTATTTCCATTGTAATTATTAGTTAGAGATGTTGTCTTCCTGGATAATTAATACCATGATTAGATTGAAATAGCACATACTGCATGTGTGATTTTTTTTTTTTAAAGGAGGTTATGCTAATAGTAAAACAGAAACTGAGGAAATTATTAGCAGTTCATACCAACAGAAAAAAAAATTAAGAAGAGACTTGACGCCACAGGTAGTTGAGAAATGCAAGATCTTAGGTAAGGTGTACTTATCTTTTTGACTTAAATTCTACTCGTCTGGTATAAATCATCAATTAAAGAAGTCAGACTGCAAATACAAGCATCAGCAGATAATACTAGAAACCAAATATAATGGCTTATAAAAGGGAAATAACAAATCTTACTATGAGTAACTCTCCTATTAATAGAATTAAGAACAGAAAAGGAGTAGCTAAATAAAGGTTTAGTTGACAATATATTTAAAACATTTTTTTCTCTACCAGTTCTAGAACTGCTTTTTTTCTTTCTCTCCCTGCTCCTTTCCCAGTTTTCCCTCTTCTTCCCAGGACCAGTTTGCATCCATCCATCATCCCTAGAAACTGTTTTCTTCCAAAACTCTTGAATTTTGCATTTTGCTTACACAGGTAGTTCTCAATCTGTGGTCCGTGGACCCGGGGGGGGGGGGGGGCATAATGTTGTCACATGGGGTCTGCAAAGGCTTGAAGAAATGTTATGATTTAAATCTTGAATTAAGACTTGAGGGTCTATGGCCACGCTCTGTGGCCACAAAAAATATTTAAAGGGGGTCTGTGGGGGAAAAAAATTGGGAACCACTGGCTTACATTCCTATAAGTTCTACATATAAGTCCTACAAGTTTAACACTCTGGGATGTAGATGTCTTAAACAACTCTGATCTTATTTGGCTCCTAATTGTGCCATCCCTATTATCTTTTTAACAAAACATCTGACAAATAAATAAGCACCTCCTTAATTTAATCTCTCTTATCTTGACATGCATTCACACAGTGATTAAGATTAGAGGAAAATGTATGTGAGTATCATTAGTTTACAAATCTACCTGAATGAGTAATTCACAAAGCTTGGTTACAGATGATTGGTTCTTCTTTTCATCAAGGAGGAAAGACACTGTTGGCTGGTAGCAAGCGTCCTCTTCATTGTTGAACTCTCTTTTCCCTTCTTCAGCAAAAAGAAGGGCTAAGAAATATAAGGAGGCCATACACAAACTCGGTTTTCTGGTAGAAAGATGGATACATTCACATAGTGTATCTAAAAGGTCAAAGAGAGTCAACTTTTATGATGCAGCAGTTTCATAAATATTAAATGATGTGTTAGGATACGAAATGAACTAACAGAAACAAACACCAGGCAATAGGTAACAGGATGGTTATGTTGACTATACATCAACATATGCCCTACCACCCATATTTTATTTAAAACATTCATTTAAGTAAACTTTGAGCTGTGATGGAAGCCATTAACAGCTGAAACAAATTCTATAAAAATGGTTTATTCCAAGTCTGCATGTCTGTTTGGAGAATCATAAAGAGAGGAAGTATTTCTAAATTAATCTGGGAGAGAAAACCTTTTGTTCTGACAGAAAAAAGTTTAACATCAGCAAAGGATCCATGATAGAGACACTGAGTTATTCAAAAAACATTTCCTAAGGTGTGCCCAGTCAAATGTCTTTAGGAAGATGTCCGTGTAAACTGCAGGTGCCATCGTTACATCTTCCACATGTTAGCCTTTTATTATATGTATAATTGTTGATGATTTATGTAAGTTGAAGGAAAAAATTTTTAGTTAGCAGGATGGTGCTCACCTATAAACCTATCTCACTGTAGGCTTCTTGTGATCTGTACTGTTTCTATGAAGCAATAAAATAATTGGTTTTTATAGCAATAATCTAGGGTAAGAAATAATAAGGGTAAGAAAGACTCATTAAAGCAAAGGCAGGCAACTGGAGGCCTCAAGTTTGCATAAATAGCCTCCAGGCTACTTTTTTTCCGAGTCCCAAAGCCATCTTTGATTATTGTACATCTGCCAGAAATTGGTGACATAATTTCTTGACATTATGGGATGAGTACATGAAAACACAGTTTCATATTCAACTTAAACTTTTCTTCCAATCCAGGAAGAATAAAGCCATGGCTCCACCTGCTTTTCATCATTATCTCAACCACAAAGTGTTACATGCAGCTCTTGGACATTACAAGACTCTTCATCTCTGCTATTGTTCAATCCAAGAAATGAAACCTCTGAATGATCTACCCATATTTCCCCAAAAACAAGACCCAGACTTATTTTCTTTCGGGCCCCAAAATAAGCACTAGGGTTTATTTTTGGGGATGTCTTATTTTTTTCAAACAGGCGGCTCACAGGAGGTGGGGCAGGGATGGTGCCATGCTAGTCCCCCTGCAGGCTTTGCCCCTACCGTCCTGCATTGTCCTCCAGTGCTTCTCTAATTTTGCCCATCCATGCTTGTTCACTTTATTCCTGCAGCGGGAAAGAGGCAAGAAACCCACTCGAGGCTCCAAGGCTCTGTCCATTGCTGCACCAAAATGCCAACTTGACGAGAGGGGATTGGTTTTTCTGCAGATCATTTCAGGAGGGTGCAGTGAATCCATTCAACAGACAGTGGGATGGAGTGGGTGGGCTCTTAATTACAGCTTATTTTGGGGGTAGGGCTTATATTAGGCACACTCTTAAAAATCAGGCTAGGGCTTATTTTTGGGATAGGGCTTATTTTCAGGGAAACATGGCACCTAAAGAGACAAAACCTCTGAATGAACTACAATCAAGAATAGAAACACAAACCTAATTCTTCACAGTCTCATCTCTGACTGGCGTTTCTGAAGCATACTATAATCCATGGTATCAAAACTAATAAAGGGAAGTCAAAGGCTTTACACTGTTATGCAGAACATTGTTTTAAAACCAGGTATTACCTATTACAGAAGCCCAATGTTTTGCTAACGCGAGAGATACAAATGGTAGTGCACTATGACCACATTTTCTTAACAGTATAGCTAAAAAAACAAGTAGGTCTTCCCATGTTCGATGAACTGCAGATGATAATTCAGGTCCTGTCATGTAAACATAAGGGGTGGGGGGAAAGTAAGCATCTAAGTAAAAGCTCACCTTAAATGTTTAAATATAGCTAAAGACAAGAAACTATCCATTCCACAAGAAGGACAAGACTTATATGCCACCCTAGAGGCAGGAAGATAACAAATATTATATATGGATATTCCAAAATTAAATTATGAAGCCACATTTATTAACATATACACAAATGAAGTTGGATATAAACTGCTTCTAATATTTGCTTTTTTATGTCTGTCTTTATATTTATTCAAATTTTTGTATTTCACATTCACAGACTATGACTGCATTCACAGATTAATATCTTCAAGAGATAATTCAATAGATACCTTCAAAGTAAGTAAGCATATCACCTCATTCTTAAGTTCTTGAAAATGTTGTACAATATATGGTAACAATGGCAAGCAACAGATCTACCTGGGACTTAAAATCGTGCTTTGTTTCCTAGAAATTAAGTGGCAGTCTCAGTGCTATTCCCACTTAATTAACACAAAGCAAGAAGCACTTTGTGCAAAAATAACTTTGTAAACAAGGGCAAGCAAAGAAGAACTGAAACAACATTTATAATGGACTGTTAGGACTTTATTGGAAAGCTCAAATCCTTCCAAAAGGGTTCTGAGCTTGAAACAATCCTTATTTGAGATCAGAATATTTATATTAGAAACTATTTCTTCCCTCTATCTGCCATGAAAATCCTACTGCAAAAAGGGTTTTCTTGAAAGATTCCTGGAACCTCAGAAGATCAGATTCTTTTTAATGATTCTTTTCCTGAGGAGACCATGAATTCTATTTGGGGGGGTCCCATCAGCTCTCCAGGCCATTGTTCCATCTAGCCCTATATATGACATACTGTCTATGTGGATAATCTTTCAGGTAAAAATGTTTCCATTCCTATTTGGAAATATTGAACAAATTCAACAAATATCACTGAAATATGGTGATATTTTGCTTAGCTTCCAGACTGTAGAAAACAAAATGTTGACATCAACTCATACAACTTGTATACATAATTTTCAGACATCTGCTCCTTACCTATGCTGTCCTCGGAGCTAAAGGAAAGAATCACAAAGAACTTTTCCAAAAGAGGCTTCAATAACTCATCTTGCAACACAAGATGAGTGTCCACCAACAAACATGACCTCAACAGTTGAGAAAATGATGAAACAAATTCCAGTAGAAATAAAATCTGTTTAAAAAGAACACAGAATTATTAGATTCTGATATTTGGATAACATTTTTACAACTATTTTTTTTTAAAAAACTTTATTCTGCTTTTATTATTTTTACACAGAAGTCAAGGCAGTGAACATATCCAACATATCTTCCTCCTTCTATCTCCTCCACAACCACAACTCTAGAAGGTGTCCCAAAGGTGCTTTCTCGAGAGGCAACTGAACTTTCTGGTTTTTCTTTTCTTGGAAGACATTTTGCTTCTTCAGCTCTGACTGGATGGTGGGGAGTCAGAATTGAAGAAGCTTATTGGATGAGAAGTGAAATGTCTTGCAAGAAAAGAAAAACCAGACAGTCCAGTTGCCTCTTGAAAAAGCAACTGGGACAACCATGACCTGAAGGATTGAGAATCTCCATAGACAATCCTACAAGGTGAATTGGACTGAGAGTGACTGACCCAAAATCACCCAACTGGCTTTCATGTCTAAGGTGGTACGAGAATCCAGGCACCTGATTTCTAGCCTGATGCCTTAACCACTCATCCAAACATCTTTAAATAATCCTTAAAGCAATATAGGGCTGGCATTCTACCTTTAATCCAGAATATATTTGGAATTAAAATCCACTAAAACTGCTTATTTACTAATAAAAACAACTTTTATACTGTCCTATCACAAGACTTTGGTAATGTACATAATATTAGGGGTGGGATTCTACCGGTTCTGTCCAGCTCTACAGAACCAGTAGCTCTGAAGAGCAGCAGACACAGAACCGGTTCTGTGTCTGCTGCTGTTTTGGCCCACCCACCTGCCTGGGCTGCTACCTGTCCTTTATTTCCTGCTTTTTCAACCACAGCTGCTTTGTGCGGCACAGCTGCAGTTGAAAAAGCAGGAAAAAAGGGCTTTTCCAACTGTTGCGCACCCGCACGCAGCGCTGCTCAGCTGTCCAGGCAGCTCAGCAGGTCATAAATTGCACTCGTGCGACTCGCGCAACACAGAACAACAGAACCGGTAGTTATACTGGTCGGGTCCCATCCCTGCATAATATAGACATATATACCTTGACCCAAGAACATATTTCCTATAAATTTTCTGTCTCTCTTTCTCTATATACACATATATTTGTGTGTGTGAGTTACTGAACTACATTTGCTTGGAACTCACATAAAAGTCCTCTAAAAAGAAAGTTTGGAAAGTTTTGCAGTATTTTGAACTGAAGTTGAAATATGCAGTATTTTGAACTGAACTGAAATGATGTTAAAACTAACAAACAATTAAACAGAGGATAGCATTAGAGCCTGGCATTACTACCTCATTACAGTGTTTGCTAATTTAGTAAGGAATTATGTAAATTTAAAATATTAGCATGAATAAAATTTTCATAATTGTCGTTAATCACTGAGAACAAAAAGATACATTTCTTCTATTTTTCAAATAGAAAATCCTTTGCATGTAGAAAGCCATAGCATTTTTTTTCCATATCATATATTTAAAAACTGTACAGAAATCATCTATTAAAGCTGATTCTCTCATTCTGGCCCTAATTGCTTGGTGCATGTCGAATCTTTGCACTAGACATCTAAAATATAATTAATTTCTTTTATTTTCTCTCCCTCTTTTTTATTCTATAATCAACAAATCAAAGAATCCAAGCATAGCATACAATACAAACATCTCGTAAGTAAATCAAGATGTATACTCAAAGCAACCAATGTCTTCAAATTGGCTACACTATGAATATGGATGCATATCCCCAAGGATTCATGGCCATCTGATGCAAACAGGCAATTCTCCTTGCTTCCCCAGGAGATGCTGAGTTAAATTTATGACTAGAACAACTGCAAACTTCTTGACCCATTCTCCCCCACTTCCATTCAGTCTCATCTGATTCTTGGAAGCTGCTGAATAAGTTTTTTTTGTCAAGGGTTTCAGAAGTAGTTTGCCACTGCCTCCTTTTTAGGGTTGAGAGAAAGTGGTTGGCCCAAAGTAACCCAGCTGATGTTATGCCCCTGTCAAGAGTCTGAATCTGAGGATGAAGATGAACAGCTGACAGGGAGTGGAAGTGTGGCTCCATTGGCTGTGGAAGAGGCTGTGGAAGGGCAAAGTCCGGCTGGGCAGAGCAGGGGAGAGATAGAAGGAAGATCCAAGCCCACCCCCTCTTCACCCTAGGGCACGCAGGAGGAACGGAGAAGAGAGCAACGTGGGTTGTGTGGCTTATGCGGGAGGAAAGGGGCCCTGATTCCCTTCATTAGCCACACCTGGGAATGAAAGTTTATAAGAACTGAATGCCTACTGTGGCAGCTGCTGGGAGCAAATGTGACTTTATCCTGTGTTGTCGTTGCTTATCTGTGTTCCTGGCGTCTTCCCAACCGTGTGAGTTTTGCTGTGCCTTCACGTCTGGAATTCTTGTTCTTGCCCTGCCAAACTAATTACCTCATTTTGCCTTGATTGGACATAATGTTACAGTTTTTGTTGACCATGTTTTGGACTTGATTCCCTGCAGTTAAAGGCTGTTCTTGGGAGAGTTTTTCTCCAGCCAGAAGGTAACCTGGACATTGGGGGCAAAGTTGGAACTATTAAAGGGACTCTTATTGATTATCTGACTATGTTGCCTTTGTGCCATGCCCTGGGTCATCACAGCTGACTTTGTGTCCAAGGCAGAACTAGAACACAAGTCTCCCAGTTTCTAGTTTGCTGCCTTAACAATTACCTCAAACTGGCTCTCTAATTCTGCCCCCTAATTACTCCAATTAATCTCACATTAATGACAGTCAGGAGAAGAATACAAGCAAGGTATATTAGAGTGAGCAACATGGCAGCCATACATTACACAACACTCGTCTGTGCACAAAACGGTATTAAAGTAAAAAGTAGAATACATTATTTAACATACTTCATATACTCAAGACCAGGGGTATTAAACTGGCGGCTCACGGACCGGATGTGTCACACGCAGGCCATGCCCACCCCGGCTCCACAAAGGCAAAAAAGTCACGAAATGTCACGTGATGCAATCAGGTTTGACACCCGTGCTCAAGACAGTATATAACAGTAGAAAGTTAGCAGAAAAAACACTGAAAAAGGCAAAAATCTGTAGGATTTCAGGATTGTCACATGGCTTTATCCATTTAAAAGGATTCTTTACACCTGCCTTACAGTGCTTGCAAGACCTTGTTCTGCTTGCCTGGGAGGGTTACCTGAATGCAGATATTCTGCCCACTTTGTTCAGCAACTGAGGGAGTGGAAGAGGGAGGAATGATCTGATTGCCATGGAAATTGGAACATTTTCCACCTGTTTCCTGATGCCTGCCCTCATGAGAATAAAGCTGCACCACTTGTAAAGATCATTAAAAACAGAGGTTTTTGCCTCAAGGGGGAGGGGTGGGAGAGGAAGAAATTATTTCAGTATTTCTATGGTGTAGTCCTTAATGGGTCTAAGTCTACATGGAGGGAAGTAAGCAGTGGGGTGCCACAAGGTTCCGTCTTAGGCCCAGTACTCTTCAATATCTTCATTAACGACTTAGATGAGGGAATAGAAGGGGAACTTACCAAATTTGCAGATGATACTAAGCTGGCAGGAATAGCTAACACCCAAGAAGATAGGCTCAAGATCCAGATGGATCTTGACAGACTAGAACACTGGGCCGTATCTAATAAAATGAAATTCAATGTAGAGAAAAGTAAAGTCTTACACTTAGGCAAGAAAAACCAAAAGTACACATATAGACTGGGTGAAACCAGGTTCAATAGCAGTAACTGTGAGAGGGATCTTGGAGTCTTAGTGGACAACCAGCTAAATATGAGCCAGCAGTGTGCAGCAGCAGCCGAAAAAGCTAATGCAATCCTAAATTGTATTAACAGAGGGATACAATCAAGATCAAGGGAAGTACTAATACCACTCTATAAAGCCTTAGTAAGAGCACACCTAGAGCACTGCATCCAGTTTTGTTCACCACATTATAAAAAAGATGTTGAAACTCTGGAAAAAGTACAGAGAAGAGCAACCAGGATGATTAGGGGACTGGAGACTAAAACATACAACGAACAGTTGCAGGAACTGGGTTTGGCTAGTCTAGTAAAGAGAAGGACCAAGGGAGACATGATAGCAGTCTTCCAATATTTGAGGGGCTGCCACAGGGAGGAAGGGGTCAAGCTATTTTCTAAAGCACCTGTAGGCCAGACAAGGAATAATGGATGGAAACTGAACAGGGAGAAATTTAACCTGGAAATAAGGAGAAGCTTTCTGACAGTGAGAACAATCAACCTATGGAACAGCTTGCCCTCGGAAGTTGTGGGAGCGCCATCACTTGAGACTTTCAAGAAGAGATTGGACTGCCATTTGTCAGAAATGGTGTAGGGTCTCCCGCTTGGGTGGGGGGTTGGACTGGATGATCTTCAAGGTCCCTTCCAACTCTGATTATCTGTTAAATCTGTTAAACTGTTGCTTGCGTGTCAGGTGTCCAAAGTTTTGCAAGTGGGCACACTTTGAACCAGATTTAATAGAGACCTAGGGAAAAGGATACATCTTCTTTCTAAAAAGAAAATGCTAAACCTCATTGAGCATATTATTGATCTTTCTCACACTTTATCTTCCTTTCCATTCACAAGCAGGTTCACATGGGGAAGGGAGATCAAAGAAGCTTTGATGTCACTTCTCTGTATTCAGTTACACAATGTAATTCAGTTACCTGAGTTTTACAACTACACAGCAATCAACTAAGGTACTGCAGGTCCTGAATAATTGATGGAGCGAGATGTTAATGGCACACAGATCCCTAAACACATAAGCGCTTTCTTTCCTGCAGTTTGCTATTCACCCCCCACCGCCCATTTCTTAGTTCTCAGTTATAGCAAGAAAACATGAATTCTAAGGTGAAATTATTTTTGCCTTCTTTGTAGCTGTAGCACTTTGGGCAAATTTAATAGAAGTTTAGTAACTAATAATGCTAATAAAAATTAACCATTTATTGCTTTAAACCTCTACCCTGCATAAAACAGACATAGCACCTGAATATAATATTTTAAAACACCAATTTGTTCCGCAAAATTTCCAAGGAATAAGAAGCTGTGGCTTACATTGGTTAAATGACAGCAGCTTCCAATGTAAAGGATTTTTTTTTATTCAAGGGAGTTTTACTCCACTTGAGCCAAACTCTATCCCTGCCCGGTTTATAGAAAGAAAGAAACCAGAAAACTGAAGTATCTTATAGTTCAGATAAATAACCTGATAGAATGACTTTGGGCTAGAAATCAAGAGAGACATGTTTTCATCAAATTGAAAGTGATCTATCTCTTGCACCATGCTACTTGCCACCGTCTACTTCGCCTCTAATTCTAAAATATCCTGTTGGTGAATGTGAAGGAAAGAACACTCTGAACAAATATTTCTGAGAAAGGTCATTTGTTTTCTGAACTGACACCAAGCTTAACTACAGTGAAGATCAGTATGGGATAGTAAAATCTAGGCCTGACTAGGAATGGGGCTAAAGGGAAGGGAAAAGAGTGGGAGATAAGTTTGGTTTAGAGCAGTAGAGAATTTGGGGAATTGTAGTCCACACATCTTAAAGTAGCCCATCTTGAAAAAAGATGGTTTAGAGCAGGGGTGCCAAACTGCTTAGATCTGGCCCTGAAAACGGTGAGAGCCACTCCATTTTCACTGGCAGAGGGTTGCAGGAAGCCATTGCAGCTAAAAACAGAGCTTGGGAGCCTGTTTTCAGAGCGCTCGGGCCACCACAGGCACCCCAACACAAGTGATGTTGAGCTGGCCACACCCACCCCGTCCCCCTGAGGTCAAACTCAACCCTGATGCGGCCCTCAATGAAATCGAGTTTGACACCCCTTGTTTAGAGGACATGCATATTGATAGGAAAGGGACAAAACTGTTGTCATTATTAATGTCCTTTTTTCAAAACTATGCCATGCGACATATATCAAAAAGTAGGGTAGTCCTTGTCCACAGAATCAAAACTGAATGGATATTACAGAAAGGGCAAGGAAAAAACACTCAGGTAAAAGAGAAAACAGGCACTTGACCAAGCAGTATCTTTATATCTGATAGATGGACCAGACTGTTTATTTTTTTGTGACATTTTTTCCCCAGGAGGAAAAGTCACCGAGCTCAATATTCTTATATTCTGGACTCTGCCACTAACTTTAACAGCTAAGGCAGTTTGATAACTCTGGAACAGCTATATGAGCTACAGCATTTTTAATACGAAAGGAAAACTTGTTAAGATTGTCCAAAGCCACTTTGTCTGGATTGCGGTGAAATAGAAGTATTCCGAAGGAGCAGGTAAAAGGAAGAATCATTTATTACTCTGAAGAAACATTTTCCTCATTACTCTTATCTTTCTCCTTCACAATTATATGCAAGAGCCTTTCCACGTGCAGAGACACATTCAAGGTACAAGCAAGTAGTTAAACTTTATTTCTATAGTAAGTAATATTCTATAGCCTAGATTCTCATCAACTGAAGAGAACTATAGCTCTCCCTTAGGAGACATTATGTTCAACATTCAGAATAAACACCAATAAAGTCTAGGTAACCTGACATCTTTATTAAAATGAACAATAGAGTGCCAATTAATTAAATTCAAGAACAGAGGTTAAACCATCAGACAAATTAAGCTGTTCAATAGAAAGGAACAGGAACCAAGCAACTAACCTGCATTTTGGAATATTCCTTATGAGATGGCCAAGATGGAGGAGCTTTCATTTCAAAGATATATCTCTCCAGCAAGCCAGAATTTACAAGACTAACAAAAACAAAGACAAGAGAGAAATAAATATGAACTCCAGCAGAGATCATTAAAAAATGGTCTTGGTTATTCACACCGTGGCCTGCATTAATAGAGGCAAGTTGTTGTTTAGTATGAACGTGACTGCACCTTCCTTCTTTTCCACTATATAGGGGAAATCACCAGCATAAAATTTAGTTAGAAACCAACAGGATTTCACTCCAGTCAATAAAAGGGTACATATAACAAGGGCAATAAAATATAGATGCTACAAAAAAGGAAATAATAATAAACACAGACAGCAGCATAAGCAATTAAAATTATATGGAAGGAATGATGTTGTTTTATCTAACTGTCTAAAAAGCAAATAAAACAAACAATAGTCTTATTTTGTTATGGAAGAAGCTCTACATCCTGGTTGCTGCTAAACACAGATGAGTTACAAACCCATCAAGTTTCCCTTTGCTAGAATGTGGGACACATAACATGCACCGGATCGGACTCAGAGGAGAGCTGGCAACCTCACGGATGCACTGCCTTAGATGTTGGGGATCTGCAGGTAAGAACCACCAGCAGACATGAGCTGGATTTGCATATAAACTGAGTGTGGGAGCCCTGAGATTCATGTTTTATTGCCTATAAAATGCATATAAAAAAAGCAATCTGAATACTGCAATTGCATTTTCTGAATTTTCCAAAGATGTGGCCATTTCATATAGTTAGCTAGATACAGAAGGACAGACCAGATTAGTTTCTCCATGGAGATCATACAATTGGTACCTTAGTCAAGACTTGAAAAAAAAAAAAACCATCAGCCAGAAAGGAACAGCTTTAATATTAAAGGCCTAAATGCTGTGTACATGATCCTCCAAAGGAAGGACTACCTGGTCCATAATAAGTTTTAATTCCCATTTTAGGAATACCAGACTAATGATTTGTCTATCTGAACTCAGTAGTTGTTTGCACACAACCAGTCCAGTCACATCCAATACAGTTTCTATGCCTGCCTTCTTAAGAAAGCATAGGAGTACTATCAACCATGGTGACGCAGTGGATAGAATACAGCACTAGAGGGCTAACTTACTGCTCATTGCAGGAGTTTGATTCTGACCGGCTTAAAGTTGACTCAACCTTCCATCCTTCCAAGATGAGTAAAATGAGGATCCAGAGTGTTAGGGGCAATATGCCGACTCTGTAAACCACTTAGAGAGTGCTGTAAAGCACTGTGAAGTGGTATATAAGTCTAAGTGCTATTGCTATTATAAGATTCTCCCTCTCCCTGACCCAGCAAAATAACCAGGTATTCCTTTTGTTTAGGACGTGAGCAACAGTACCAAAGCATTGCTTTCAGGGAATGTTAAAAACAAATAAGCCTTTATATGAGAAGGCTCAAATAACATGCTAGGTTAAAATAATAAAGAGGGCTGATACTGTAGGACTTAAAAACACACAACCACACACACACCACCGAAACACACAGGGAAAAGAATGAAAAAACCTTCCTCTCACCCCCATCCAACAATCTGGACTCTACTTAAAGTTTGGGAGCCCAGCTAAATATTCTACTACATTTGACATTGGACCATCTATAAGGTTAGAATTAGGGTAGCTAAGAGTTTTTATTTAAGTTAGGATACAAAGTTTTAGTCTTTAGTCCTCATTAGAGGATACTGATTTTAGAACTAATTCTAGAATGTCAAACCAAGACTATTGACAATAAAAGAAAAAATAATGGATTCATTATTAAACCGTAAGTAGTTCATTTTTAGTTTCATGTTATGTGCAGTTAGGCTACTGAAATTAACAGTGAGAAATAGCCTCTTTGGATACAAATTATTTGCATCAAGATACCTAGTCATATTATGACTATGGTTGACAGAGCTAAGTTTAGGACTTCCAAACTCATACTAATTTTACCATCAACAGCTATTTTATTTATGTCAACACATTATTGATGTTAATTTGATATATGCATAATGGCTCTTTTATTAATGTTAATATATTTTATTTTATCTTACTTTTATAGTAATTGGATAATAAAGTAAAAGCATGCCTCAAGTCAATTTAATATACAATGTATTTCACTATGCACTTTAAACATTTGCCTCTGTAGAAGTTTAGAAAATATAGTACACTATTTAGGGATGATGCAAATTTAGTGCATATGACCGAGTCAGAAGACTGTTTTACTTTTTGTATACAAGTCTTAAGAAGTCAGAAAGCAGATGAAAATTATATGTTTTTAGTTAGCCTCCACTAAAACAATAGTTACTTTTTATTTTGATCAACTGCTAATTCAATAAATATGGAATTGTTAAAACCGATCAAATGTCATGCCATATAGACATAAATCTCAACCCTCCAAAGTATCAGTTTTGCAAAAGCTTCACTGAATTTATCATGGCTTAGAGGAGTTTCATTATTGCAAGCAAGCAAGAAGTCATATAGAGAAAGCATGTAAGTTTAATAAATAATTTATTTAATACAAAAATATATCTATCCCAGAAATCAAATCTCTTTCATTCTCTCTCTTTTAACTTTTCCTCCCAGCCTTTCAACTCAATGGATGTTGAGTTTTTTGCAAGACCTGAGATTAAGAGGCCTCCAATGTGTACACAACTGTTTTTTCTGACCTGAACACACTGGCCCAACCCCATCAATTTCAGCTCTTCGAAATGTTCCAGATTTGCTCCATTTTCAGGAAGGAAGGGGTTTTTCTAGTTTGTTACTTTTGAATTCTCAGAACACTCAATATATGTAACAAAGCTTGGGATATCATTTGTCGCAGTCTATTCGCAAGCTCTCTAGTTATTGATCTCTTACCTACTGAGAGAAATTAGTGTATCTGCTCTCCGAAGAGCAATTGTAGTCTCTTTTGGAGAAACAACAAGCAGGTTGTCCAGCACGCCACACATAGCTGAAAGGAGAGGAGGCGTGACTACCGTACACTGATTAGGTCTAATGACAGACTCTGGGAAAACATGTGGACTTGAAGATGCAGTTGTGGTTGTGTCACTCTGACCTAGAACACAACATTCAAAAGAAATAAGCTGCATGAAATGTGGATTCACCTGAAACTATTACTCACTCTGACATGAATCATAGAGAATCAATTAATTCTATTAGCTACATGAAGCTTCAAAACAACTCTTGTGCCAATTGTTTCTGTAAAAACCCAACCCACCAGTTGCTGTTTCTTAAACTGAACATTCTTCCGTTAGGATAAATAGAACAATATGCAACAGTCCAGTAAGAATCATAGGACTAGGGCAATACAGGCCCAAAGAGAGTTTTGTCAATTTGGAATATTTAAAATGGTAAAACATATATTTCAAAACAGAACTGCTGATTTCTGAAAGATAGAGATTTCTGCTTTTCCGCCCCATGCCTTGATCATCTGACAGTTTCAAAAATATGCTACCAGGTGATGGCTGCTGTTCGAACAACCCATTCCAAAACTTCTAGCATGCGCTGTATCAGTAGCATGGCTAAGAAACGAAGTTGTTTAATACAGTTCTAAAGAGTATCCAACCTTGAGTTACGAGTCGGTTCAATGATGCATCGTGAATCAGACTAACAGCTGGCGAAGAGGGTGCTTCTACTTCCATAGCACATCCCGGTGATGGTGATGCTGAAATTACCTAAGAAGAATCAAGAGGACAACTTTATTTAATATGCATTTTTGTTTATTCTTTAGCTGAGGTACCCCATCTTTTCGCCCAAATGGTGCTCACAATGCCTAGCAGCAATGCAAAATGCTAAAATTGGGACTATAATCAAATAAATTCAGACTACTGTAAAGGAATTCAAAGCACAGGGTAAACAAAGAAAGAAAATTGCATAGGATAGTCAAGTAAATCATCTCAACAAAATTTCTGCAGCCATAAAAACAATATTGTCTTTATTTGTAGGGAGAAAAGTCAAGCAGGAAAGAGTCTTGCCTCTCTTAGCAATGAGTTTGAAAGTCTGAGAACAGACATTGACGAAAAAAGAATCCTGCTATTCCCTTCTCCACTGCCATCTTCCTGTTCCCACCAATACTGCATATTTAATTTAAGCATGACTGTATTTTTAGAGCCTTACAGGGTGGATAGGAATTCCTTTATAACACAATGCAACCCAAAAGCCCCCTCCTCTTTGCTAAGTGTGCAACAAGGAACAAGAGAGTCATTTAAGGCACTTTCAATTTAATTAATAACTTGTGCCCATTAAGCACTATGCCATTTAAAGCATTTCCTTTCCCATTTTGTTACACATGGGAAATAAGATGTTTTCATTTCTATTACCTGAGCAGCCTATGGAAGGCCCAGAAGCATACTATAAATAACAAAAGACGCTACAGCTTTTTGCTTTGCTTTTCAGCACACTAACTTCTCAGCGATGATGACAATGATGAAATTAAACATTCCAGCACAGAGCAAGTCAAACACAAAGATGTTTGTGCGCTCTGGTGGCCATAGGCACATTACTATTCCAGAGAACATAACAAGGTTACTTCAGAGAACCTACCTGTCAGGCTTCGCCTTACCACTTAGGAAAGCTCACCAGAATACCAAATAATTAAAATTTATTGAAAAAAGTTAAAAGTCACAGGCGAGGAGTTTTCATTAACCTCTTCAAGAACACTCACTAGCTAGTGTGGAAGTTAATTCTCACATAGTTGGTGAAAAAATAGTATGGTACCAAATCAAGTCATTGCAAAAACAAAAGACAGATGGAAACAAGTCCATTCAGGAAAGGGGCCATGTTTTTCAATTCCAAGGTCCAGGAGCAAAATAAAGCACAAGACAGTTTGAATATTGATTTTGTATTAATGGCTTGTTCTTGAAAGAAATGAAATGGGAATAAACTAATTGTCACCGGTCACCTTAAGACTACAGACTTACTTAATATAAAATAATTACCTACCTGAGTCAATTTTCTTGGGAGAGGAAAAAACTTGGTTTGGCCTACCATCAATAGCTAATGCTAACTTGCATGTCAGATATAGGAACCATTCTAGAACTTATTAGTAGAAACAGTTCTCATTCCAGAAAATATTGTGGCGTGTAGTAATGGTGTTTTTAGACAGAGCTCCATTTTTGGAAATGAATGTATTTTTTATTTTTCCTAACAAAAATTACTGGATGCCTTCCTGAAAACATCCACAAGTATTTTTAACATTGTCTGTTGGAAGGTGAAAGGTTGTGAATGTGAGTAAAGGAGGAATTAAAAAATAGAAAAAATATTAACCTGCATTAAGTAATTCAAGAAGAAACACAGCTAGTATAATGGAATCCTAGTTCTCCAGACTATCCCATTTCACTATATGTTCAACTTACCCAAGTATCAGTAGTTGACTGAGAACTTGGAGATTGGTTCCCACTATTCTGGACTCTCCAAGCAGAAAGAGAATCTTCAAAGTCTGGAAAGGGGAGACAGGAGGAATCTATGCTTATAAAGTTTACTGTTGCCACCAATGCATTTTCAGCCTGTTGAAGCATTTCATGTCATTTCAAGATGAGCCATACTTCCTCCATAATTTCAAGGGTAAATCTGGGCATAGGTTTACTCTTCCCTGTAGATCGGGGTGGGTAACTATGGTCATTTTATGACTTGTGGACTTCAACTCCCAGAATCCCTGAGCCACCATGTCTCAAGAATTCTGGAGTTGAAGTTCACAAATCATAAATGGGCCATAGTTCTCCACCTCTGCTGTAGATAGTGAGCTGTGGTCTTAAAGATATCAAAGAATAACTTGGTCATCCATAAGCTTCACTCAGGCAACCATAGTTTATGGTTTGACTAATGACACCACGAAAACACGATTGACCTAAATAGATCTCCCTACTTAATTATATTAAACTTTTAAACATCCCCTTTCATTATCCAGTAAACAAAGTCAACTGTGTGTGAAATGCTTAGAAAGGTTTTTCTTTATAAATATAAAAATGTTTTTTTAAAAAATTCAATATTTTGCATATGATGCGCCTTGAATTGTGAAGCTGAAGTGTAGGACATAGTAATTAATCTTCACTAATAAGCATTTTATGCCATAGAACTGATGACAAACTGTTGTGTATAATCTTACGCTCTGAGATATTGATTTACCCAACAGTGAATAGACTTTAGGTGAAGATACACTTGATTTAGCAGGATGGAGAAGGGGGGAATGCTGATTGCAAAGAACGTAGCCACAAGTTCCCTATCATTTTATTCAAGAGACAGCAATAAGCCACCAACTGTTTACTTCGTGTATCCAACCTAATTGTCTGCCAAACAAATCTCTAGGATGTACTGAGAATTGATAGTTTCCACTACGTTCCCTTCAAAGAATACATATGAAGTGGCCCTTGCGCACTATGGAGTGCTGCCAAAAATTCTCATGAAATGAAAAAGTATTTCATAAACCCAGTATGGAATTTCTCACAGGACATCATTAACACAGTCACAAAGAGAAATAAACTACCAGTCTATTTCTTGTAGGCAGTATCTTGGAGTTTTTCAGCCTCTTCCTTTCTTTACATTATGGAGATATTCTCCTTAAGGTTTTAATTAATGTATACATTTTAGAAATTCCACACAGTCAATTATTCTTTTTCACAATGAGAAAGAATAAATAACCTTTACTAAAAAAAAACCAACTAATTCCTTTTCTACCTCCAACTACAAACACATTTTTAATCTAACTGAACTAGATTAAGGAGCAAGGTTTTTGTTTACTTTAGAAATGCAAAGTATTGTAGCATTACATATTCACAGAGGACAATACTTTAGATTGTCACATAATTAAAACTGTGATCATGAGAAGAAATTATTAAGAACGTGGGAAAGAGCAGTGACATTCACACTATGTGAATTCTTGGAAATATCACTTACCATTCATGCCATTCTTTGTTGATACCAGCTGATCTCCCAAGGAAAAATCCACATCAAATGTATACCGACCCAGGTAGCATACCTTCACCATCTCATTCAAATGCTCATAGAAGTGGCAATAATAGAGCAAGGCCTGCAGCGCAGGTTTTCCAGACAGAGATAGACCAGTTGCTTCATCATGTACACAAGGCCCCTAGGAGGGAGGGATGGAGGAAGGGAGGGATGGAGGAAGGGAGGGAGGGAGGAAGATGTGAAAATGTTCTTCTTACATTATAGCTTCTTATGTCTCAAAGATAGGGTACCACAAATGAAATTTCCTCCTCGCCTCCTTTTTTTCAGTTTTGAGGATTTTGTTTACAGGCAGTCCACGCTTAGTGACTACAACTGGGATCGGCAGCTCTGTTGCTAAGCAACACAGACATTAAGCAAAACATCCCATGATTACATCTGACTTACGTCACTTCCCATTTGATCATTACACGAGTCACCACAGATCATTAAAGGAACATGAACATGACTTGCAATTTCACCGCCGGCTTCTCCACTGACAATATTTGTCAGAGGCCAGATGTGAAACATGCAAATGGGAATGGGAGATTATGACAGTTGTAAATGTGAGGACTGGTTGTAAAGGACTGGTCGCTAAACAGCTGCTTAATGGTTATTAAATGAAGTCTACCTGTACTTTGTAATTGTACTTCTTAAGTAGAAAATTGTGCCTCTGATGTCAAATTAGGCAACTCTCATATTTTTCTTCTTACAGAAAATGTCATCAAGAATCTGTAAATTGTAAATCCATGAAAATGCAGGTAAACTGCAATTTATAGCTTATGGGGGGTAGAAATATCCTCATGGATCTTCATTTTTTGAAAACTAACTTCCAAGCTCTTAAGGATTTAACTAATAATTTAAACACTATTAATAATTTAAACCCTAACCATTACCCTGTTCTTCCCTACACTCTTTATTCTTCTTCACAAAATGTTTATAACTTAATTTTAACAGGTATAGTAGGCATTCCTGAAAACTATTGAATAAAGTATGGTTGACAGTCAGTTTGGTGTATAGCTAAGACATCAAGCTGGAAATGGGGAGACCATGAATTGTAGTTTTGCCTTAGACCAGGGGCGCCAAACTCGATTTCATTGAGGGTCGCATCAGGGTGGTGTTTGACCTCGAGGCCCGGGGTGTGTGTGGCCAGAGTGGACGTAGCCAGCTTGGCGTCATTCGCACTGGGGGCGCCTGTGTGGCCCAAGCTCTTTGCCAGCAAAAACGGGCTCCCAAGCTTCATTTTGAGCTGAGATAGTCTCCTGCAACCCTCTGTCAGTAAAAACGGAGCTCGGGAGGGCCGCTCCATTTTTACTGGCACAGGCACCGCAGGCTGGTCCTTCGCTGTTTCCAGGGTGGCCCTGCAGGCCAGATCTAAGCACCCTGTGAGCCAGATGCAGCCCACGGGCCTTGAGTTTGACAGCCCTGCCTTATCACAAAGCCAACTGGTGACCCTAGGCCAGTTACTCTGTGTCTCTGCCCTTGAAGGAGACAATACATTGACTACCGTGCTGATTGCATCAAAAGAAAGTCATACAACCCACAATTCCGCATCCAACCCCCCCCCCATCCAATCCAACATCACTAGGTACGCACACCCTTAACTACCTCTATTCCAACCACAACTGGACAAATGCAAGCTATTCAATGCAAGAAGCCTTGTAAAAAAAATACCTGAATTTCTCCTCTTACTAAATACAGCTAAATTCGACATATTTGTCTGTGAAATATAGCTCAATGCATTTCTCCCTGACTCCATTACCACAGTAATAGACTATCATGTTTACCAATCAGATCATGAAATCCATAGAGGTGGTGTTGTTGTCTTCTATAAAAAGTCCCTACATCTAAAAAACATCCAAGTTACCCAGGAGCTTGCGATTCCTGAGACCATCATCTGTGAACTGTCCTTAAATATCACATTTCGGTTCTTACTATGTTACAGAGCCCCTGATTATGACATCGAACATGCAAACAAGCTAAATACACTACTAACATGGGTAGCATCCTGCCCACATGCTTTTATCTTTCTTGGTGACTTCAATCTATCTCATATTAACTGGACCCTTAACGAATGTACAACTGAACCCACACATGCAACCTTCTACAATGCAGTAACAAATCTGGGACTAGAACAACTAGTAACCAACAATACTAGACTTAAGAACTGCCTCGATCTCATCTTCTGCAATAGTTTGAATTCAATTTATGGAGTACAAATTAAAGAACCCTTTTCCAACAGTGACCACAACATGATTGACTTTTGTTTCAACATACATCCACACAAAAATTATCACAATGACGGAATCCCCAATTATAACTTCAAAAAAGGCAACTATGATCTTTTAAACAACGATCTCTCATCCCTTGATTGGCAATTTCTATTCTCTGGATGCAATGCTGTAGAAGACCATTACAACATATTTTTACTTGAAGTCAAAAGAGTCATCAAACTATATGTACCAATAACAACTCCCAAAACCAGAAAAAACAAATTACCCATAACAATAAGGAAGCTTCAATCCAAAAAGACATCACTTTGGCGGAGAAACAAATCTGGTCACGTTGCCAACTTCAAAAGCTGATACAAAAATTTATGCCACCAGATAAAGACTGAATGCACCAATTATCACATTAAACAAGAGGAAAACCTTCTACGCACCAATTCCACCTGCGCTTTCTACAATTTTGTAAACAACAAACTAAAAGACTCAAGGTCCATCCCACCCCTGAAAGGGCCTAATGGTAAAGACTGCAACGACGACACCATTAAAGCCAACCTCTTTAACACATTCTTTGGCTCAGTATTTGTAAACAGCAATGGATCATGCCCAGTATTTCCTATTCGAACCACAGACAACTACAATGATCTAATACATATCGATTTTACAGAAGACAATGTTGAAAAAGCACTATGCAATCTAAAACCATTTCTATCTATTAGACCAGATGGAATATGTGCCTACTTCTTTAAAAAGCTATCCACTGCCATAGCCGAACCTCTAAGCATAATCTTTGAAAAATCTTTCAGGACCAGCTCCTTGCCAAAACTATGGTCACAAACCACGGTCATCCCCACCTTCAAAAAGGGAGACCCCAGCCTAGTTGAAAATTACAGACCAATCTCTTTATGCTGCGTCACCTGTAAAGTCATGGAATCAATTATTAACCAATCCATCTTCCTCCACTGAGAGACAAACAACCTACTCTCTAATAAACAATTTGGTTTCAGAAAAAAAGTACCCTGTAATCTGCAACTCTTACACTGCAAAAACATATGGACTACACAACTCGATCAGGGCAAAGCAATAGACGCAATCTACATAGACTTCTGTAAAGCCTTTGATTCAGTGGTACATGACAAACTACTCCTAAAACTAAAATCTTACGGTATCTCTGGACACCTGCATAATTGGATAGAAGCATTCCTGTCAAATAGACAACAAATGGTCAAAATTGGGAGCGTCCTATCAAATTCTGTACCCGTCAACAGTGGTGTCCCCCAAGGCAGTGTTCTAGGACCAACTCTTTTCATACTCCAGATAAATGACCTCTGTGATCATATTAAGAGCAACTGCATTCTCTTCGCTGATGATGTAAAGCTATTCAACACCACAGACAATATTGCTACTCTTCAAAAAGACCTTGACTATGTTATCAGAATGGTCAAACAAGTGGCAACTTCAAATCTCAACAAATAAATGCTCTGTCCTACATATTGGCAAAAAAAATCAGAAAATAAAATACAAGCTGAATAGTCAAGACCTTGTTGATGATCTAAACTCTGTCAAGGATCTTGGAGTACTCATCCCTAATGATCTAAGTACTAGAGCCCACTGTAACTTCATCGCCAAAAACACGTTAAGAGTTGTTCACCTAATCTTACATAGCTTTTTCTCTGGTAATATTACACTACTAACTAGAGCATACAAAACATTTGCTAGACCAATACTCGAATACAGCTCATCAGTCTGGAACCCACATTACGTATCTGATATTAACACAGTTGAAAAAGTCCAGAAATATTTCACAAGAAGAGTTCTCTACTCCTCTACTTGTTGCAGAATACCTTATGCCACCAGACTTGAAATTCTAGACCTAGAAAACCTAGAACTACGCCACCTTTGGTACGATCTAAGTATAGTATATAAAATCATACATTGCAATATCCTACCTGTCAATGAATACTTCAGCTTCAACCATAACAATACAAGAGGAAACAATAGATACAAACTCAAGGTTAATTGCACCAAACTTGATTGCAGGAAATACAACTTCAGCAACAGAGTGGTCAATGTCTGGAATACTCTACCTAATTCTGTGGTTTCTTCCCCAAACCCCAAAATCTTTAACCTTAGACTGTCTGCTATTGACCTCACCCCTTTCCTAAGAGGTCTGTAGGGGGCGTGCATAAGCGCACCAACGTGCCTACCATCCCTGTCCTATTGTTTCTTTTATTTTTTTTATTTTTCTTATATGTATCCATGTATTCATAACTATGTTTTTACTTATACCTATTATCTTGTAGCAATTGACAAACCAAATAAATAAATAAATAAACAATGGCAAACCACTTCTGAAAAGTCTTGTAAGAAAACCGCAGTGGCTAGTCCACGAGGAATAAAAAAAATGATTAAACCTCATCCCAAAAAGGATTGGTGAATTGAGTGGCCACAACTGATTATTAAAACTTTTCAAGGTGTTAAAAAGAAGGAATTTATAAACACATATTTATGGAAGTCCTTTGTTTTCCCCTCCTAACCTTTACGAATAAAAAATATTTGTCACTACTTTTTGTTTCAAATGAGCCACAAGGGGAAAAATTGCTTAATTATCTGGGCATGTGTGCTTTAATTCTACCACAGAAAATGGGAATTAAAGTTCAGACTATCCAAGCAAGATGTACTGACCAAATCAAGCATGACAGCTTTGCAGATGCCCAGGAATGATCATCACATTGAGTCAATTTTTAAAAATACTTGACTCAACTGAATCCAATTTTAGATTATTATGCCTAGTAGTTTACAGTCTCAAAGGTATATTAAAACCACTGGAGTCATAATCATGCATGTGAAATGATACTAACCACCTTGAAACTATGTAACATTTTTGATCCACTGAATTGGAAATAAATGTGGTGATTAC